AAAATGTCTGTCCCTCCATCCAAAAACTAACTCTTCATCCAACATCCATCCAACAATAATTGGCAACCTGAAACCCGAAGAAAAAAGATAAAGAAAGAATGGCAGACCCAGTATGGAGACAGCGTCGTCGAAAAGACTTTGAAAATGCTAAAGCACAGTGTCTTGGGAAGCGTGACAAGTCCTTTGCTGGAAGAATCGACCCTCATGCCGTCGATATTTGTGGATTGATCAATGAACGTGACGAATATTACACCACCTCTTCGTGTGCTGGGAGATGTTTCATGTACTGTGGCGAAGGAGTCAAGGCAACCAACGACTTTGTCAGATTTCGAATCAGTCATGAGCAAGTCAAAGAGCCGGACCGATATTTTAATCTACAGACTATTGATGCCGATCCGACAGGCGGCGGGGATCCAATTCGAACAATTGGTCAATATGAGAATTCACTGGGAGATAAGCAGGGCACAATCATCGATAATGAAGAGAAAAAGACGAAGCTTAGTGACCTTATTTGGTTTCGCTTTGAGCCCTTTATTCTTCATGTGGCATGTCAATCTTTGTCTGCAGCCAATGCGTTGATGAATGCAGCTCGTCCTTCGTTTAAGAATGTCGGATTGACCACATGGAAGGACAGTCGATATCTAGTAGCCATTTGGGGAGACGAAGGATTAGAAATGCCACTGACAACACCCACTGGTCGCCCATTGCACGATGATCCCGTTTGGCTATCCGAACTGGTCAATGGACAGCATGAAAGAAACTGGGGCAAGATTGATCGATTCTGTCAAACCATGCGGGAAATGCCAGCATTAACTGAAAAAGATATTGCCGACGAGGACGCACTAGAAGAACTGATGACAGAGAATGTTCCCAAGAGTTTTGACGTAATTGGAGACATTGCCTACTTGCATTCCATGCCCGAAGGGGATGCCAATGCTGTTGGAAAGGCAATCATGAAAAAGAACAAGCACATCAAGGTAGTTGTCGCACGACAAAACAATCTAGAAGGCACTGAAAGAGCTCCTGGGACCGATGGTTTGAAAACTATTGCAGGCGCCGAACGAGACCCAATTATTACAACTCACGTTGAATATGGAATCAAATGCGTTGTCGATCTGAACCACACCTTCTTTAGTCCCCGAATGGGACAAGAACGATTGCGAATTTGCCAACAAGTTGCAAGGGGAGAAGACGTCCTCGTTTTGTTTTCTGGAGTAGGTATGGACGCTTTGCAACTAGCAGGCCGCACCGAGGCCTCCTCAGTGATTGCTGTGGAATTAAATGAAATTGGGGTTCAATGTTTGAAGCGAGCCCATCGCATGTTGGAACGCAACAAGACTGTCAAGTGTGCAGGGGCGTCGGATCGTTTGCAAATTTTGCACGGAGATGTCATGGAGATTTTGCCTCGGGATCTTCCTAAGGATCACTTTGATAGAATATTGGCACCCAGACCCAAGGAAGGGGCCATGGATGGAGACTTGGGTTCTGGTGACGGCGGCGCAGCCTTTTTGGATGTCATTCTACCCCATTTGAAGGATGGTGGAGAATGCCATTGGTACGATTTTGTGGCGGATCACGAATTCCCCGACTGTCAACGGACACGAACCCTCTTGGAGAAGATGGGCGACAAACACAAGCTGGAAATCAAAATCTTGCATGTGGCCAATGCTGGAAGTGTTGCCAAGCGACAGCTGCGTGTGTGTGTTGACTTTAAGGTATTCAAGCGATAGCCACTATTTTATTCAAAAAGCACATTCAAAATAGATAAAGCTATACTCGCACTCGCTAGAAAGTAATTGAGCGATAGAGTTGCTAAGCAAAGGTGGACAGGTCGAAGTTTGTCACGTATTAGTATTATTATGTATCGTTCTTGAAATCCCACAAGTTCCCTCTTTGCTGCACGCAAGCATTTTAATCTCTCCAAGACTCATCCGTGTGCAAATACTGATATTCTCCCGTTGCCTTGTTCCAAACCATTCCTGGTTCGGCTTCGGTGACCTTGGCCGTTGCCGCCTGCATGAATTTCTTTCGCTCTTCCTCTTCTGCTTTTTTTCGTTCAAGTTCCTCTTGAGCCTTGCGTCGTTTGGTCTCGGTTTCCAATTGGACATTTCGTGCAGCCTTAGCCAACCCATGAATATTTTGGACGGCTGCGACTTGCTTTTCCAATTTCAGGCAAAAGGCCATGTCATCTTGATCTTGTTTCAGGGCAGTTTCCAACCACGGAAGGTACCGTATGGCTTCCAATTCCAGGGCCCTGCGTTCTCGAGCAATGCTGTGGAGTTCCTTGCGTTGATTCGTCACTCGTTTTTCATAGGCCAAAGTTTGCTTGTATTGCTGCAATAGTTCGTCACCCACCAGTGTATCAATTTGTTCCATGGCGGAGGATTCGTCCAAATAACTGGCATCAATCGAGGAAAGCATGCCCTGACAATGATCGTAGGTGTCTTGTAGGGTGGCAACCTTGTTCCACAAATCCATCAAGGAACTGGTAGATAGGACCGATCGGCGACGCGAGAGCTTGGCCGGCGAGGTACCACCCAAACCATCGCGTCCTCTCTTTTTGGATTTGTTATTATTATTCAAATTACCCTTGCTCACTGCAGCTGCCTTGTCAAGATCCAATTCAATATCCAGCATGCGATCACCGGCATCCCCGAAGAGGTCATCGTCGTCGTCATCATCATCGTCATTTCCCCCACTGTTGTTGTCGGCATCACCATCAAACGTTGGTTCACTCAAACCTTTGCTGCTCTTGTCAGGTGACGAAGAAGAATTGCTTCCCGACTTGGTGGGTGGTGAAAATCGACCCACATCAGTTTCGGCCGGGGCACTTGACGGCGATGCTGCAGGCGCCGAGGAACCACTTCCTCCACCATTTCGATATGGTTCCATTCCTTGTAAGAGCTCATTGACATAGCGTATCGAAAAGACTCGCCGGTCTCCCCAAATCTTGACGGTCCTTCGGACCTTCTCCACCATGGTGCCATTGTTCTGACAGACATATATCAATGCTTGCCCCAAAATAGGACTAAAGGCTTCCAAAAACTTGTTGCCGCGATTGCGTTTCGAGTTTTGTAGGACTTCATTGGCCACATACAGCAGGGGCAAATGCTGATCGGGTCGAGACTGGTGCAAGGCGTTCCGCCATTCTGTCACAGCCACACTGGAGGACTTGCCATAATGTTTCATCATGGCACCTGCAGCTGACTGAATGGCTGGAGCAGAGCCATCCAGGTTTCTCAATAAGGACCGGATATCAGACATTCTTGCGCTTGAGTTCTTGAGAGAGGTTGTGAATGCAAGAGAGAGAGAGAAAAAGTCTAATGAATGATGTTTCAGTAGTATTGTAAGGTGTTTATCAACTATCCTCAATTTCTGATGATCTCTCTTTTCTGTCAATTCTATTCTTGCTTGCTTCCGATCAATAAAACCGCTGCAATCCGCTTTATTCCACTTGAAAACACAAAGCCGATCTCGTTATTGCAAATAACAATATTCAATGGATGTCCAAACAATGAAAAAGCTTGGCTCGTGAAAGATACATGTCGCACCTTTTGCTCCAATGCGACTGATGGTACTGGTAGAAGTATCGTCGATCCGTCGTCCTACTCGGAGGAGTCGACTCTTCCTCAGAACCAGTGTTTCAAAATCGATCTCGCACAACTTTCTCATTTTGTTCTATCCAAGATCTCACATTCAAATAGTTGCCAACCTTACTACTATTATACAGTACCATGGGAAAGAAATTACAAGGTGCCAAACTCCGGGCCAAAAAGAGGAGCAAACTCGCCGCCCAGAACTCCCTGGAGACAAAAGCCGAAGAAGCCGAGACCCAACAGGTTACCACCAAAGCCAATGAGGAACTTTTTGTCGTGGATACCACTGCCGTCCTTCCTTCCAAAAAGCAATTGGTCAAGAAAGAACAAAAGAAGCGAAAATTTTCCAACTCGGCCAAGGAGGAGGCCCAAATCAACAAACTAGTGGACACGCATTCGCCCACCAAATTGCAAGAATTGGCAAAGGTTGAAACCGCAAAGCGCGCCAGAATTAAGAAGGATGTGGATCCAAGCTTTGATTTGTGGGGGGATGATGGTGATGACAAAACGCCCAAAAGCAAAAAGGGTAGAACACAAAGTAAGAAAAAGCAGATTGCAACTTCTAATCCAGGAATTGGCCCCTCGCTTGCTGGAACCAAACCAGCCCACAAACCATCCAATTATTCGATCACTGCCATGCCTGACCCCAACACCAAGAAAGTTTCGGTGGATGTTGCCGAAGCGGGACAATCCTATAATCCTGATAGAATACAACACAGAAATGTTATCGCAAAGGCTGTTGAGGTGGAAGAAAAGCGTCAAAGAGCTGAAGAATTAAACGCGGCTCCCATTAGCAAGGGCATGTCGGAAGAAACCAAAGCGTATCTCTTGGAGGATTCAGATTTGGACGATGATTCTTCCGATGAGTCTGACAGTGGCGAGCCCAAAGAAAAGGGCCCCATTGAAAAGAAAAAGGATAAACTAACCAGAGCCCAGCGGAATCGACAAAAGAGAATCAAACAGGAACTCTATGATATTGCCCAACGAAAGAAGGACAAAAAGTTTCAGAATTCGGTTGCAGAAGCCAAGGTCATTGCAAAACAACTTCGAAAAGAAGAGGCGGAAAAGCGTCAAAAGGCGCAAGCTCTCAACAAACTCAAGGAAGAAAGCGAGCGAACCAAAGGAAAGAATGTATACCATCAACTTGCAGACGAAAATCCTGTGGATGCTCCCACGTACCCTGTTGCACTGTCGAGTGAATTGAAAAATCATGGTGGCTCCCTACGAACCATCAAGCCAAAGGGATCTCTCGTCAACGATCGGATGGCCAGTTTCATGGACCGTGGCATGGCCGCGAAGAAGCAGCTAAAGCAAAAAAGAATAGTCTCGGGAAAAAGAAGAAAATTCAAGGTGAAGGTCAGAGGAAAAGGTTTTGAAGCTTCCAAGGAAGGAGGAATCATGGGATAGATTGTAGATTCTTATTATATCATAGTGTCTTTTTGCAAAAAGCTATTGTGCATTCACAAACTCTGGTATTTGGATCTCCTAGATGTACTGTACAGTACAGCTCCATGTCTTGTGATTGTGACTTTGATTGACATTTCGAATTGGAAGTTACTTATGGCAAGGCTATAGTTTTAGAAGTTACTTATGACGCGGTCATTTATCGTTCGATATTTCACACGACAAAAAATCGGCCATTACCGGATAGAATTTTTTCACACCAGATGAAGTACGATACCAGTACGAAGTTACGAGTTACCCTGCAACTATAGAAGACAATTAACCCAAAGCGGCCACATTAGATACCACTCCCACTAGTCGCAATGCCGTATGATGACGATAGCTACGAAGACGACGATAGCTACGAGGCAGCAGATGATGCATATGAAGATGATGATAGTTATGAAGCTGACGACCAACCTCCTCCACCTGTACCTCACGGCAATGATATAGACGCCGACAGCTATGAGGACGATGGTGATAGCTATGAAGATGATCCACATGAAGCATCTTTGAGTGATCATCATCCTCCCAGACCAGTTCCTGGTGACAACGACAGCTATGATGATGACAGTTACGAAGCAGAGGAGACAAATGTTCCTATTCCGCCCCCACAACATGATGATGACAGCTACGAGCATGATGATGATGATGACAGCTACGAACACGAGTCACCGGTTCCTCAAAAACCGCCAAGCGCACGACGAGGTGGCGACGACGATAGCTATGAACAAGCCGATGATGACAGCTATCTCCCAGATAATATCCGCCAAAATCCAGCCCCCTTTTCACCAGAACCATCAACCAGTCGTAGGAGTGGTGACGACGAGTATGAAGAGGACGATTCTCGATTCTCAATACCCCCGCCAGTGGCGGAGTATGCATCCGATTCGGACGAGGAAAAAACTGAGCAATCGGTTCCGTTCGACGACGAATATGAAGAAGGTGGCGATAGTCAGAGTGAGGTTGGAGACATTGCTGGGGCGACCGGGAATATTGGTTCTAACCGCACTGAAGTGGCGCCACAGAAAAACGTGGTCAGGGAACCCGACAGCAGTGATGAGGAGGATGTCTACGCTGAAGAATCTCAGGATGATGACGGTGACACACAGTCAAGCTGGGGGAACCATGGTACCGCACAGTCCAGTGCCAAGCAAATGCCTATTAGTGATGATGACTCGGACAGTGATGACTCTGAACCAAATCCAACGGGATTTGTTGACAGCGATGAAAGCGATGACTCGTCGGATGATGACGAAACGGGTGCACTGAAAGGATACAACTTTGATAACGATGATTTCTTTGATGAAGACAACGATGATGATAGTGACAACGATGATAGTGATGGCGAATCTGAACCGTTTCAAAAGAGGCATGATACAAGGCAATCCAATCCTGGCAAGGACAAAATGTCGATATTCGGTCGCGAGGTCTCTGTTGCAGAGCGAGAAAAGAGTTTGTTTGCAAAGGAACGAAAGATGAACAGATATGTGGCTCTTGCCATCGCATGCATATGTATTGCGGGCATTGTAGGTGTGATTGTATACTTTGTTACGCCATCTGACGATGAGCCCGCAGCAGTTGCACCCTCACCAACACTTGGACCCTCTCCATCGCCCTCGTTAGCTGTTCAAAATACTGTCGAGAGTCTGTACTCAATTGCTCTCAGTACAAATGAAGTACCGGCTGCAAGCTTAATCCAGAGTATGGATCTACTTGCTGAACAAGTTTTCAATGCATCAAATGTCAATGTTGGAACAATAAGGAACCGGAAGCTTGCCATTGTAGGCGTGTCGCGCCCGTCCAGTTTGGAGGCTGCATCGACGAGTAAGGACTGTTGTGCTTGATGTTTGTGCAACGTTCAAGGATTACTGACAACCTGTTTTGTTTCAGCTTGTGCAAGTACACTAGGGGATACAATTAGGAATTTTTGCTACAATGTCAAAGCAACGATTGTGGTTTTAACTGACATCCCCGACGACCCAATGCTCTCAACATATAAGCTAAAATTGAATGCAGCAATCCAATCTGGCAGCCTAGCTGAGATGTTATTGGAGGTAGATCCAGAATCAACAGTTCTGATTTACGTCGAGAATACAGGTGGACAGCCAACAGCTTCATACAGCCCTTCGAGCCCTACCGTTTCCAACAAACCCTCTTCAATGCCTTCACAATCCAGCCGCCCAAGTTCTAGTGGCGCACCATCTTCAGCACCGGTGGCTCCCCCTCCTTCCACAACTTCGAGCAGGCCAAGCACAAGCAATGCCCCGTCGCTTTTGGCATCACAGAACCCAACATCATCTTTGAGGCCCACGCAATCATTAGCGCCTTCCACCTCCATGAGCCCAAGCTTCAGCATGGCTCCCAGTGCTGGGTCACCACCAACCTTATCAAATGCACCATCTGTCATGCCTTCCAACGCACCAAGCTTAAGCAAGAAACCGTCAGTATCAGCGGTTCCATCAGCAGCGCCATCCTCATCACAGGCACCCTCTTTATCGACAAGTCCCAGTACATCAAATCCCACTATCTCTCTTGCGCCCTCGGTTAGACCTAGTCTGCGCCCCAGTCGGACTCCATCCAATGTACCTACGCCTGCTCCAAGTGGTCGTCCTTCCGGTTCCGACCAAGAACCCACCGTCCCACCCAGCAATAGGCCAAGTTTGGTTCCCAGTATCAGCAACAGGCCGACAATTACACCATCTGTGCGCCCGACTGCAGCCCCAACGGTTAGTGCAAGGCCAAGTGTTAGTTTCCAACCGTCGTTGAGGCCAATCATTTTGGAACTCCCATTTGACTTTGGATTCAATCGAAAAAAACAATAAGCAGGATAGCGAAAGGCAATGAACTGAAAAATACTTTGCTTGGGGTCAAAAAGTAAAGTAATAGAATGAATCATCTTATGATTTGCAAACTCAAACATTGAAGTGATTGCTATTGTTTAGTTTACGGCTTGAGGAATCGAGCACTCTCTTTGCATTGTCTCAAAATATTGGCAGCTTCGTTTAGTTCTGATTTAGCAGAGGATACTGCATCTCGTGAGAGGTTGTACCTCTGCTGCAAATTCAAGGTTTTGGCTCCAAATACACTCTGCGCTATCACCTCTTCTTCGGCAAGTTCAATGGCTGCTACAGCAAGTTCCATTATGGGAAATGTTAGGGAGGGAGTGTGAAAGAGAGCATCGTTCAAACATCGAAACGCTATAGGAATCAATAGTTCTCGTTGAATCGTCTCTTTCTCCAGCAGCAAGACTACAGCACGATGAGGTTGTGCAACGGAAATATCAAACATCATCCACCTCAGCACGAACTGTTCCGTTTCAACAACCTTCTTTTTCGCTTCCCAGTACTTTTCATTCAGACCAGGTGGATTCTTGTCCATTGTGACCCAATTGTCGTCGTCTTCGTCTTCGTCCACAAACAACATTTCGGCCAAATTGATGACATCTCGAAGTCGCCTTGGTTCTTCTGCTGCCTTGCACGCCAAGAAGAGACAAGCAGCCCCAACCCATTTCCAATCACTGATTGATTTGTATTTTGCAAGATCGTCCTCAATGGCGGTTGCGAAACGATGCAGGAACAATAGAGCCGAGAATCGCGGCTCCACATCAAACTGCAATATATTCGATGCCTGAAACGGAGATTTTCACTTGATGAGTTGTTTTCATTCTTACGCGAAAAGGTTGCTGAAAGAGAGTCAGTCGTCCCAGAAACTGCTGGCGTTCACATACCAAATACAGCCGGCACAACAGTGGAAAGATTATGGGCCCTATTTCTTTCCCATTGGTAGCTCCTTCTAAGGGCGCGTTGAAAGCCAATGCTGATTGTGGAGGGTCACTTGCTATACCATTGGAAGCCATTTCATCCCATCCACCATTATTTCTTTTAACTTTTGAAGGTTCGGTTTTCAGTTGTTGGAAATTGTGTATGAAGGAACGATGGACAGGCTTTAGTCTCCCTTTCTCTGAAACTCCATCAGAAACCATAGAACCATAAGGAACTTTCTGCTTGACGACATAGAAAGGGACAACATAGAAAGGGAGTATCTACATTGTAGAAAACGCACTCCAATGGATGATTGAGCCAGTCCAAGTACAAGTACACGTGTACCTGTTGGTGTTGCCATCAGCAGTCCTGGGAGTGGAGTATACCATTTACCATATCAAATTGCAACTCATTATCGTTTTTTCCCGCAAAAATTCAACGCATGCTCGCGTTTTCTACGACAAGTTGTACTTAAAAATCGAGGGAACGTTGACAAAATGCGCGCCAGCCAACACAGAAAGAAACTCACACATTCGCAAGACGAGAATTTGATGTGACAACAGTGCGATACACAATTCTCACAACCCAAGACCAACCCAAGACCGACTCACCGTTCTCCTCTTGACAACTCTCACACAAGACTCTTCCATCATCATGACTTCTGTTTTCGACCGCTTATACCAACAATCCACTCAAGCGTCTTCTGCAAGAAACACTGCTCCCCGCCACACTCCCAAGAAATCGCCAAAAACTGTCAAGGCCAGTGATCTCAAGACCACTGGGCTTGACCGCCTTACCCGCCCGACATCTGCTTCTCTATCCAAGAGAAAGTAGTGTCGTTGCGGTGTCATGGGGTGCAATATGACGCCTTATGGGACGATGGGAAGGGGATTTTGATATTTCGATGCATGCACCAAATCTGTTGGAAATACGAAGAGGAGCTCGACGAAAAGCTTACCAATTTATGACAAGAGGCCACCGCTGTGAACAGCATATAGGCTAAATATTATATTAACACTGTGTAGTACAAGAATAATCATCATTATGATGAACGGTACAAGCACACTTACGCTGTTGCAAACATCGTCTGCCTGTTACAAAACTTTGAATGAGAACCCGGAGTTTCATTTTTGGCGAAAGAAAAAGAACACTTTCTTTATCGTCGTGTGATCATGCATGTCAAACGATGACTGAATCTGTATTCGATCGTCTCTACCATCAGTCCACAGCCGCATCGAGAGCGGCATCAATACATGGTGCTGACCCGCCTTCCTATGATGGACCATCCAACTCCACTTCATCGAATCGTGCACCTCATCGCCAACGAAAAACTCCAGCAACCACGACCAGAAGAAAAGATGAGGGGAGTGCCAAATCATCGATGGAAAAGGGAAACCCCGAGGGTGTTCCAACGAGTCCACCAGTAGCCGTCGCACCACCAATGACTTATTCTGGCCCATGGAGAATAGCCTCTACGAGCACATATGGTCGTCTCACTTTTCTGGATCCTGGATCATTGAAATTGTCTGCCGAACTTCACAGCTTCGATCAAGGTGAAATGGATGCCAGACGATTTGCATGTCATTTGATAGCGGCTTTGTTTCGTCGTGACCACATGGCTGGGCGACATTGGGACTATGATGCACCATCCGCAAACCCCATTACGGAATCCGGTGCAGAGGAAAATAATAGTAACAACACTATACAGAGGTTCAAGGTGGAAAGGGAAGCGACTTGGGATTGGAAAGATATCTATTCGGTCGCAACAGCAAAAGGGACGATCAGCTTCAATACGGAGACGAATGAAATAAGATTGGAGGACTATAGCTACTATGCCGCTGGATAAAAATGAATCATCTCCTGATACTATTTATCTTGCGTAATGTATTTTAGCATCTTAGCAATCAATCAATCAATCCAATGATATTGATCTACCTCACATTCACTTTCCTAGTTTCGGAGTCTTCTACCAATCTCTGTTTTGACCATTGTTAGCTCAGAGGCTGTTCCAGCGGCGATTGCACTGTTCTCGTTGGCACGTCGAAGTAGATAAGGCATCACTTCTCCAACTTCTCCATAAGGCAGATACTTGTAGACCCGATAACCATGCTTTCCAAGATTGAAAGACAAGTGATCTGACATTCCATATAGTTGGGCAAAGCAGATCGTAGGCGACTTTCGACTAATATTGTGTCGGTTCATCGATTCAATGGCCTTTTCAATACTTGCTTGATTATGCGAGGCCAACATGAACTCAACCTCCAACTTCGAGGCTGCACTGTGCTTCAACAGAAAATCGACAGCAGCGTCATAATTTGCATGGGTCTCTTCAATAGTATCTACAATGGGACTTGGTACACCCTTGGATGCGGCAAGTTCCCGTTCACTCTCCATGTAGGCCCCACGGACAAGCTTGGCACCAAAGTGGTATCCAAAACGCTCAGCTCGCTGCACATCGAGTTGCAGCCGTTCCGAGGCATCCTTGAGATAGCATTGATACGTATTGTAGATGATGGCCTTATCCGTCGTTTCACCGTCATTGTAAGACTGTTGAAGATCTGTGACAAGCCCGTCAATGGCCGGTTGGTATCGCACTTGTTCTGCGTCGATCAAAAGTCTCGTTCCCACACGATCAGCCTCTTTGGCAAGCTTATAGCCACGTTGGTACATGGCTTCAATAAGCTCAAGTTCTTCATCAGTTGGTGTTGCCATGGCCAATGGACCCGTTTCTTTGCAACTCGAGGTGATCTTTGGCAGATCTTTTGGTTGCAACATCATTGACCAGGTGAAATAGTCAATCGTCCCGGTGTTATTGGGATCAAATTCATCTAGTACATTCTTTAGGGTCGATTCGTCCACTGTGAAAAAGTATCTAGAAAGGTGGAATGTCTGAGTGAATCATGATCTGCATGACTGTCGTCAACAAAATGATACACGGCTTACCTGTAACCTTTTTCAAATTCTTCTCGACTGATGAGACCGTCACCGTTCTGATCAAACTTGGCAAACAACTGTTTGGCTTCCTCAAAAGCTTGAGAGACGCGAGCAAGGAGCTTTGGGTTTCCTAGTGCTGTTACCTTGATGGCGGCATACCCATCATCAGAACCAGCAGCCACGTCATTGATGCATTGCAAAAATGTGTCGAGGTGTTTGTCACACTTGGCTTCAGATTCATAATCATACTCTCGTGCTACCGCCGACGTAGGCTGAATGGCCTCATCTGGTACCTGTCCAGATGAAGCCGGGTCGTCACTTTCCGCGGCATAGTCCAAGATTGCGCCAACTCCAAAACTATTCAAACTGTCAATCACTGGTTGGATTCGTTCGCGATCTTCGCCAGCACAAAAGTGGCCATACAGTGTTTGCTTCAGAATTTTATCGGTAAGCGTCGGCGATATGCGTGTGGCTACTCGTAGTAGACGGTCGGCATTGGAGACTAGAATTGGAATCTGACAGAGTCGGAAGCAAGCAGCCGCTCGAAAAAGTTCGGCATTGCTCTTTGCCTGATATGCGGATTGGGCGTCGCTGAAGTCCGGAACCGGATTCTGATTATTGGACGCCCGGTCGTCAAAGTCATCCAAATCCAGAGTCGCGGTGCTCGCATACCTTGAAGACAAGTGGTTGTATGCTCTCGTGTTGAGTGGCCTCAACCTTCGAATAGTTGCAAATGCCGACATGATGGAAAATTGTGGTCAACGGCACACAAGTGTTTGTAACACCGAAAACACTTCCGATCATGTTTTGAGAGTTTCGTGACAGATTTGATGTCTTGGTACTTTGCAACGGTAGAACCGTACGTCAGACCAATCGGACTATTCGAATTTGAGCCGAATTTGTGAGTCAACAATATATCCAATGAGACACGGCTTGCTCAGATGACATTATCCCATGCGAAATTGCAGACCTCTGCCAGTAGTCGGTAGTATATCTTCCTTCTGTGAAAAGGAATTGTAGTTCCTGTATGTCAAAGTTTCATCGTGTAAACCATCGTGTAAACCAGACAATTAGACTGACAATGGTAATCATATGGAAAGATATTGTGGGCTACAGACAGTAGCGAGTACCCACCGATAAGAAGAGTACAGTGCCCTAGCTGCTTCTGATCAAAGTACTGTAAAGTCAGTCGCGAGTCAAATTCAAACACGGTTCTCCAACCATGCGATGAGTGTATCGTATGCACAAGGTTTGCTGGAGCAGACTAGGCAACGATGTTATTAATAGCTATTGAACACAATGAAAACGTTTCCATATGCTAGTGAATGAACGTTTGGAAGGTTGACAGTAACTGTGGGCTTGGCAGTTGAACTAGGTAGAATACATCTCAAAATTACATTGATGGTTCTTCTAATTCCAATATCAGCCACTTACTTGGGTGATAGCTTAGTAAAACGATTGGGTTGAGATGTGATGCCATTGCAATCAGCTTTGGGGTTCTTTGCCACCCGATTCAGGGTCAATATTTTGGGGTTCTTTCTAACCACGTCATCGAACAATCCGACTGGTTCAACATTTCCATCTGGCACCCGATCGAAGTTTGCGAATCATCACCTCAACGACCGTTCAACACCAATCCAAGATCATCCCTGTGTCCAGCTAAAAAGATGAAGTTCTCCAAATCCCTCCTTGCCGTTGTTGCATTGGCCAGCGCCCCAGGTGTTTCTGCATTTGCCCCTGCCTCCAATGGTCAAGCAAAGACTACCTCCCTCAACATGATAAATGAGGAATCCATGAAGAAGGCCGCCACCACCTTTGCTGCCGCAGCCTTCCTCATGTCCAATGTTGCTGCTGCCGCGCCTGCCTTCGCTGTCGATGACATGGACTTTGGAAGCACCCAAGTGATTGCTGCCCGATCTGGAGGTCGCGCTGGAGGTCGATCCTCTGCTCGTGCTCCCTCTCGTGCTCCTTCGCGTTCGGCACCTTCTCGATCCACCACTGTGATCAACCGAAGCACCTACATTGCCCCCCCCGTCTACAGCAGCCCTGTGTACGTCGCTCCTTACAACCCAATGCCCGGACTCGGTCTTTCCTTTGGTTTGAATGCCATGAACCAAATTGGTAACGACATGCGCGACTACCGTCAAGAGGGTGAGATTCGTGACACTCGTAGTGAGTTGATGCGCAGCCAAGCACGTGAAGCTGAGATGGAGGCACGATTGAGACAACTTGAGGCCCAACAGCAGGGACAACTCAGCGCACAACAGCAACAACAACTCATGATGCAAATGCAACAACAACAGATGTTACAACAACAAGCAAAGTAGAGCATCATCCTTGGCTAATTTCAACTAGATCATGATTTTGGAACTGTTGACATTTGTAGCTCCGCACAAGAAAATTGATTCATCTAGTTTGCCTCGAGACAACGAGTTTGTAGTCTAAAACATAGTAAGTATTCCAAAACCAATGTCACACGTCCAAAAAGATAAAAGATCTATTTGCATTAAATCACTAGCAACACAATCCCAATTCTGCAACATCCAGACAGCACAACACTAACATAGACACGAAGTGTGGGGCCATCAAAGATATAAGGACATTACAGAAATCCGACTTTGGGGAGGGACGATGCGCCACACGATGTTCGCATTTTGTTACAGTTTGTTGGAGCAGAAGAAGAAGTTTACTCGTCGAAGTCTCCACTGATATCTTCCTCGTCAGCGGTGGCTGTGTCAAAACAAGAGAATTTGAAATGTTAGTCGTGTCAGTTCAGAGAAACAAGAAAAAGTATCGTGCACTCACCATCTTGGTACTGTTGGTATTCAGACACAAGATCGTTCAAGTTGGATTCGGCTTCAGTGAATTCCATCTCATCCATACCCTCTCCGGTGTACCAGTGAAGGAAAGCCTTTCGGCGGAACATGACTGTGAATTGCTCAGCAACACGCTTCCATGCCTCTTGAATGGCGGTGGAGTTACCAATAAACACACTAGACATCTCAAGTCCCTTTGGTGGAACGTCACAGATGGAGGCCTTGAGGTTATTTGGGATCCACTCAACAAAGTATGAAGAGTTCTTGCTGACCATTTGCATCATTTGGTCATCGACTTCCTTACTTGACATGGCACCACGGAACATCATAGCGCAAGTCAAGTAGCGTCCGTGACGTGGGTCGGCGGCGCACATCATGTTCTTGGCATCGAATGCTTGCATGGTGAGCTCAGGAACAGTAAGAACACGGAATCCTTGCGAGCTGTATGCGGTAAGTGGAGCGAATCCGACCAAGAAGAAATGAAGACGAGGGAATGGAATCATGTTCACGGCAAGTTTTCGGAGATCACAGTTCAGTTGACCAGGGAAGCGAAGGGAGCACGTGGTTCCGGTAATGGCATCAGCGATCAACTTGTTGAGGTCGCTGTAGCTGGGGTTGGCAAGCTTCAATGTGCGGAAGCAGATATCGTAAAGTGCCTCGTTATCAAGAGCGAAACATTGGTCAGCGTTCTCAACAAGTTGATGGATGGAAAGGGTTGCGTTGTAAGGTTCGACAACAGTGTCAGAAACCTTGGGGGATGGGACAACGGAGTAAGTACTGATGATACGGTCAGGGAATTCCTCCTTCATCTTGGAAACAAGAAGAGTACCCATACCAGAACCGGTTCCTCCTCCCATAGAGTGAGTCACTTGGAAACCTTGAAGAACATCACAGCTTTCAGCTTCCTTGCGGATGCACTCCATGATAGAGTCAACAAGCTCAGCTCCCTCGGTATAGTGACCCTTGGCCCAGTTATTTCCGGCTCCAGATTGTCCGAAGACGAAGTTATCGGGACGGAAAAGAGATCCATACTTTCCTCCTCGGATAGAGTCCATTGTTCCTGGCTCAAGATCTGTGAGAATGGCTCTTGGGACATATCTAATGATCAAAGAGTGAAGGTGGAATGTGAGTCGAATCATTTGCCCATCAAATCCAAATTTTTACGATTGAAAATATTCAAACTGCAAATAAACTACACACCTTCCTTCTTGTCCTTCACTGAAGTAAACCCCAATGCGCTTCAATTGGTTCTCGTTGTCTCCTTCGTATTTTCCAGAGGGATCAATGCCATGCTCGCCAGCCATGACCTAAAACAACAAAACATCAAATCATGTCAGAATCATATTTCCCAGCGAAAACTCGACCGGTATCACAACAACAAAGTCGAGATCATTTCACAGCAGTAATAAAGGACTCCAATGCCAGAGATGAACCAGCTTCCAATTGGCTTTTCACAGATCATTGTTCAAGGTCAAAATTCCAAAAATATTCGAAATGCGGTTATATTTCAGTTGCCGTCTTAAATATTTTCCGAACGCCCTTAAATGTCTTAGACTAACTTAGTCGACGAGCCAAAATTTTGCTCGGATCCTCATCGGTGGGCCGTTCATCATTTTTGTAGCAATGACCATGCAATTGATAGACTCACCTCCCAGAACTTTGCTCCAATTTGGTTACCGCATTGCCCAGCTTGGATGTGAACGATTTCTCTCATTTTGTTGTTGTGTAGGGGAAAACAAAAAGTAAATGACCTGCTGCAATCGTCAACGCCAATGTGTTTACGACAAGCTTCCGTGTGTTGCTAAAACATTTCCCTTCCGCAAAGCGCCAGCCGGACCGCGCCGTATGAACCTCACGTACGGCAAAAATGCGTTGGACGTGTAGGAAAGTTTTGTTCAAATCGTACCCGCACGCAAGTAGCGCATTCTACTGTCCAACGGATGAGTCACGCTCGGAAAATATTTCAATTGGCGCCGAACACTGTCCGTCCAAGCTTTTGGGGCACAAAAAGGGGAGTGAGAATCGATCGTCAACAAAATTGACAAAACCTTGAACTCCATCCAACACCCATTCGATACTCTCAACAATGGAAGAAAAGGAGGAGGCTGAGAGTTCGGTCCAAGATGGAGCTTCAGAAGTTGCTTCGTCGCAAAGTTCAGTCTTTCTGGAATCTGAATTGGCTTTTCAACTAATTGAAACAATCACAATTACCACAGTCTTAAGCCAAAGCCAAGCGAAGGAATGCGATGATGCCTTGAGTCGAATACGGAAAATCTTTGATAAATACCTCGACCTTCCATCGTTGATGGACAAACATATTGGAAAGATAGTTGGCTTACTGACAAAGGCTGCGCAAGAGATTATGGCTTCCGATCTCATGGACCAGTTTTGGGATTCTTGTCTTCCACGAGTATTGTCGGCACTCTATTCTCTGTCCAAAGTCCGTGGTAGAAAGCGAGTCCAAAAGTTTCTACCGCACACAGTGGATGATGTGGAAGTAGTCTTTGAAGCATTACGAAAGCTAGATGACTTGCGCAAGAATCATTCACAATCTGACGCAATGGCTGAAGGACCACAACTTTGGGAATCCATTCATTCATTGTGGAATTGGGTGGGGATCTTAAGTTTGGTACCCTTTAAGTCTTCCATTATTGTCGACGAGAAGAAAATATCTGACTTGATTGCACTGGGGAAGACGCACCTCTCGGATCCAGGTCCCATTCGGGAAATGGCGGCAAGCTGCTTGGCATCCTGGTTGTCACGGCCAGAATTTGAAGGAACAGATTTGGTATCCTTTGTCAAATGGTCCACTGAGATTCTGATAGATATATCCTTCGATCGACGAAACGTGTTTTTGACCATGGGTTGCCTACAAACACTCGTTTCTATACTCAAGACTTCAAAGGCAAAGCGTGAAACTCTAATCTCATTGATGGAACCGTTGTGGAATACAATTTCCAAGCTCTCGGAGAGCAATCCATCCAATCTGCTGCTCCGCAAAAATCTGATCAAATGGTGGACGCGTTTAGGGTGTGCCTATCTTCCTCCTCGAGTTGCATCTTGGCGGTATCAACGTGGACGTAGGTCGCTGATGGCCAACCTTTCGCAAAAAAAGTCACAGGAAGGCGATGATGCTGTTTCGGAGGATTCGTCTTCTTCTAGGAGCTCAGAAGATGACTTCTTCTTTGTACCAGACGAAGTGGAAGAAGCAATGGGACATGTGGTTGGTGGTCTGACAGATCCATCTACGATTGTGAGATGGTCCGCTGCCAAAGGGGTTGGTCGGCTCGCCGAGCGCCTACCCAAGCTATGTGGTGAAGATGTCGTAGATGCTCTGCTGCAATTGCTGGAAGATGTGGAAAAGGATAACGACTGGCATGGAGCATGTCTCGCGTTTGCCGAGTTAGCCAGACGGGGGCTTCTGTTGCCTCACAGGTTTGAAGAGGTGATCCCAAAAATTGCACAAGCACTCCATGTACGACTTTTGAAGTTCAGGTCTGTCGATGTCAACTTGCTAAATCCAAAGCAAACACTCACACCCCTTTTGGTAAATATAGTACGATGTCCCACGGCGTCAAACCAGTGTGGGAGCTCATGTCCGGGATGCCGCCTGCTATACGTGAGTTGTTGTTTTGCAATGATTGCATCCACTACATCATTCCGCGATGTGAGAACTGGTACTAATCTTGTCTTGCACAGATACTGGGCATTTGCTCGGGCCTATTCTCCTGAAATGTTGAGGCCATTTGCGCCGCAGCTGAGTGAATCTGTGGTGGTTGCCTTTCTGTTTGACCGTGAGGTCAATTGCCGACGGGCTGCCAGTGCTGCCTTCCAAGAATTTGTAGGGCGGCAGGGGGCTCAGAACTTTAAGCACGGGATCTCAATACTGACTACAGCTGATTACTTCTCTTTGGGAAATCGAATTGATGCCTACAAAATAATATCCTTGCATGTTGCACAATATGATGAATACAGGAGAGCCATGATAAAGAATTTGTATAACATCAAATTACAACACTGGGACAAAGCCATCCGTACTCTTGCATCGCAGGCTCTTGGAAATCTGACACATTTGGATACGGAATACATTGAATCAACTACCATACCACAGTTGTTGGAGAATAGTCTGGACCCAAGGAACGTTCAGCTTCGCCATGGCGCTGTTCTCGGGCTGGCGGAAATTGTAAATGCTTACAGTCGCTTGGTGAAAGAAGAAGTGCCTTTAGACCGCCTCTTGAAGGAAGAGACATTATCCAGTCTTGCTGAACTAGTCCCTGTAATCGAAAAGAAACGACTGTATCGTGGGAGAGGTGGCGAGCAGATGAGACAGGCTGTCTGTCGTCTCATCGAGTGCATATCAATCGCAAAGATTCCTATGACTGTCCCCCAACAAGTAAGACCAAGTGGTGTATTCAATACGTGATGTTGCCTCGAACTAACAGGTCTTCGTTTTCGTCTTCATCCGAAGGTACGATTACTCGATTCCATTGATGCATGTATTCCACACCCAAACGAAGTAATCCAGTTCCAGGCGGGCATGGCTCTTGAGGCTTTGATGCGATCATACTTTCCTGTCAGTGCAAAGGGACCTTCGGATCGGCTACAAAAGCGAGTCTTCGACAAGTATGTCAAAGAAGTAAAGACAAGCATCAACCCGGCTGTTACCAGAGGATTTGCGTTGGCGCTTGGCCATCTACCTCCAAAGCTTCTAGCTCCATCTGAAAAGCTTCTGACGACTGTACTGTCAACTCTATGCAAAATATCCCGACCTGATGCAACAGTTGGTTCTGACAAGGATGCCGAAACCAGGCGAAATTCCCTAGTCGCTCTAGCACGGATATGCAAGACTGTCGGGATTGACGAGGGGCCACCGAGCGATGCACCGTTTGTGGTTAATTTGACAGAGCGTCAAGTCAAGTACGTCTTTGAAGCTTTTTTTCGCGGTCTCGAAGATTACAACAAAGAACGTCGGGGAGACGTTGGATCCATGTCTCGGATTGCGGCGATGGAAGGTCTTGAGGCATTGACTGTATTGGCAACAAGAACAAAACTTCCAAATGCATTCTTTTCGGAAGAAATTGCGACCAAAATTGTCGGAGGCCTGCTGAAACAACTATCGGAAAAGCTGGATGCAGTGCGATTGAAGGCTGGAGAGTGTCTTGTACGGATCCTGCGGCATTGCGATCCGCCAATACCCTACATTTCAAGTCGTGGCGAGCTTTACTCTGCGCTGAAAATCGAAACCGACATCAATTGGGGCGATGCATCCGTAGTTTTTCCTCTTGTCATGAGTGCTGCCCAGATTGATACCTACTTCTCGCATATTATTTCTGGCTTGATTGTTAGCGTTGGTTGTCTGACACAGAGTGTAAGCAAGAATGCATCTTCCGTCCTACTGCAGTGGGTGAAACATGCCAGCAAGGAAGATGTTGATCGACTTGGAAATGGTGAGTTTGTCATTTTATCCTGTTGTGTAGAAGTATTTTTCATGCTTCTCACAAATATTTCTGACACAACTGCATTATAGGTTTCTTGAAACTATTCGAAGAACACCAACATGAAGGACGGGTCGTCCTTCCTTTGCTAAAGACCATTGCACTATTGATGGAACGCGTGGCGATTGATCAACTCATTAATGATGCCGCATTCGTATCATCTCTGTGCACACTGCTACGCGAAGAAGAGAAAGGTTGCAAGGATGTACATCGACTGACTTCTATTGTTTCAGTAACACTCGGTCTTGTAGGAACAAGTGGTGAAATAGAAAAGGTAAAGATTCATGTTATGAATTGTTGTGATTTGTGTTCGTTATCCCCGCTAATTCTTCCCCTCTACTGCAGGAGCCTCTAGCATTTGTTTGCACAATGCTCAAACACCCTTTCCCCAGGGTGCGACGCATTGCGGCGGAGAACCTCTACGTGCGACTGCTGGAATCACCGGACCTTGATGGCGACAATCCAGCGCTAGAGTTGCTCTTGACGAATCCGTGGGACAGCGATCAGTCTCCTTTGAATGTGAAGAAGATGGCTTCTGAGTTGGCGAGTGCCCTTGGAGTCGAATTGCTTCCCTCTGAAGAGGGATGATGATTCACCTACCAATTCAGCAATTGCTACGTTATCTAGACATCAACCTTTTCAGATACATCAGTATTATCCAAGACGATGTCCACGTTCTCCGTCTTTGCTTCTGGTGGCTTCATTTCGCCTCCCTCGGTAGTAGCTTCCAGCGAGACCTTCTCTTGGCACTGCTGAGGCATCATGGGATACGGGAAAGGAAAAGAACCGTACGGTTGGGGCATAGATTGAGGAGCACCTGTAATGATGTACAGTAACATATAAGAAATATAGCAATTTTTTCAGCAGCTGCGTCTTCAAAACATACCATTCTTTCCAAATTGCGCAGCAGCGTACGGATGCAGTCCAGGAGGATGAGTTTGAGCAATCGTGTATGGGCCTGCAACTCCGGCAGGCATCGGGTACATGTATGGTGTAAACATGTGAGGTGGTATCATGTGGTGCATAGGAATATGCTGTGGAAAATTGCTTGCTACATCTGGGAGTGTTGGAAGGGAGTAGAAATCTGGCTCCGAATCTGGGTCGTCGGGTTGTTTTGGAACTCCCTTGATTCGAACTCTCTGCATATTGACGCAGAGGCCTGGTCGTCCTCTTAGAAATCGCTCATGATAATAGCCTCCAGTATCCGGACCACGAGTGATTCGTTTGAAGCCGTACAAATTTAACTGTCGTTGAAAGCTTTGGACTCGGGTTTGCCGAAAGTATCTGGTCATTATCTCTGCTTCAAATCTTTTTGGTTTGTGAATATTGAACGCTCTCCCATGTGGACAGAATGATACAATATCAGCCTTTCCTTCATATTCTGTTTGTCTTAGCATTCTTTGGAAAAAGGTGAGTGGATGCATACCGGTAGATAGATTGTCGATACATGTCCATATGCATCATTCAGAACAAACGTACCTGTGCAGCTTGACTGGGAAAACTTCCATAACCCCGCCCCGATTCCTCCCGTCAGGAACGGGGTCCGAGAGTTTGGAATAGTCTTTATAGCCACCCTTGGATTCCTCCTCCTCAGGTGTACCGGTATCATCATCCTTGCTTCCCACAGCGTCCCCCGTCAAGCCTCTTACGATAGCTTGATAAGGTGGAACGTATTGGACGTACGGGTTCGGGAGCTGAGGTTGGGCTTGAGGATAGTTGGGCATGGGGGCGGCGATAGTGCTGCTCTCTTGGCCTTCCGAAACCTTGCTCTCACTAGAATCACCATATTTCTCCTTGTCTACCGGTATCGCGGGAGGAATAGAGCCTTCATCTTTGCGTTCGGGATCCCCTTCCGATCGTGTCACTTCAGGAGTAGATTCTTCTCCCTTCTTTTCAGTCTTCACGTCTAAAGCTTCCTTGCTTTCTGTTGATTCAGTCAGGTCCTCTGCAGCACTCATAGTCTCGCTTTCAGCTGTCATGTCCAATGCGATATTTGTAGCGCGTTCGTTTGATGGGAACACAACCGTTTCGGTGTTCGTGTGCAACGAAGGCTTGTTGCAAATGTTGATTGATGTCAGTAGCAGAGCACTCTGTAATTGCTATGTTTGCCAAGTTGTTAAATATTGGATCAGCTGGTACCTGGCGCTGGGTACAGTTTGTACGGAGCTGATTTGCTAAGGAACAAAGCCAGCCGGCAGATGAGTTATTACTGAGGCTACAGAGCTGTTACCTTCTGTTGAGTGTTCTTTGTTCACACAAAACTACAATAGTACCGGTGGCAGCTAAACTTCTGTACTACCATGCGATAGGGAACTAACTGGCAATGCATGTATAATAAACGTTCAGTTATTTTGCCGTACAGCTATACATTCACTTGTTCAAATATGGCATCAATCGGCATGTGTACCCCATTTCAGTTGTTCAGTATTTTTACCTAGTCCAATAGGCGACAAAGGACGCGGGAGAGTTCGGCATCGCTGGACAATGCGTTATCTCCAATAGGATCAAAAATGTTGCTAAAGTCCACTGCTTGTTGCACGCTGTTGTTGACAGAATCTTGAGAAAAGCTATCAAGCAGCAACTCGCTGATTTCATTATCATCGAGTGAGTTTTGGTTGGGCAACATTGGGGGCATTTGATACTTGGCGGGACTGGGAAGTCTTGCAGCAGCCAAGCCGGGATGGATTAGGCTTCTAGACATGGTTGCAAGTGGTGAATAGTTGGAAGAGTTTTCAACAATGGTTGCTGCAGCCTGGGGCAATTGTTCTTGGTAGGACTGTCTCCAGACATCTTGTTCTTGTTGTGGCGAGGATGCGAAGGGTGTTGGGGCAATGGCTTCGCGGGCGTACATTTGATTGGGGTAACCATCATCTGAGTTATCACAATCACTAGTTTGAGGAGTGACATGCATGGGAGACTTGACAGGAGGCTGTTGTTGGAGGAAAAGAGAGAGCATACAGGTTAGGCGATTGATTCATTTTCTTCCAAGAATTTCAAGGTAGTACTTCGTTCTACGTACCATCAAGTAGAAATTGGGTTCGCGTTCGGGGCTACTGGCAGCCTTGAATCGAGTGCCCTTCACCTTGGTGCGGACCATGCGATTGCAGAGGAATGTCTTGCCGCGAAGAAAGAGTTCGTGGTAGTAACCACCACTGTCATCACCACGAGTGATGCGGTTGAATCCATATAGATTCAATTGCCGTTGAAAGCTGGTGAGCTTGGTCTGGCGAAAGTATCCTGGCATTACGTGATCAGCAAACTCTTTGGGCTTGTGAATCACAAAGCACCTTCCATGAGGTTGCCATGAGATGATATGGCTAAGTCCATCGGCTTCAACTTGGTCCAAGATAGCGTGAAGCTTGATAGGGAAGGAAATGGAGACTCCACCACGGCGATCGGTGGGGTCAGCTTGATCATATTCTTCCGTATCATTGGCGTGATCGTGATAGTCGTGGACCACAAAGTGACGATCATTTTGCTTGGCAGTCTTGCCTGGCTTTTGAGGTTTGCGACGACGCTTAGGCTTGGGCTTTGTTGGAATGGCGCTTCGGGCAAGCTGGTAAGATTGCAAGGCAGAGAAAGTAGTTGGGATTCCGTAAGAAGGACCTGTGTATTCCGCCTTTCCCGTGGGCATCGTGGAGTTGTTGTCCGTTTGGACAGTTCGTGTTGGGACAGTCTCTCGTGCTTGATTGGCCAAAGCAGATTCATTTAGACTGTTTGCCATGAGATATTGAGCATTGACTGCTCCTGTTTGGAGCTCTAGAAGCTGTTGCGCTCGTGCTCGACGACGGAACGCGGCAATGGTGCTGTTGGGATTACACATTCTTCAATTCAGTAACAGTGCGTTTGGTTTGTGAGTTCGCTGTGGTTTGGTTTGGTTCGGGTTTGGGTTGCACGCACAGCGTTGTGTTGATGGATACAAGAGATTCGACTTTTGTGCCTGATGAGAAATGGGCGATGCGGTAAGGACAGCCAGTGTTTGCTGCTGTTTCCTGAGTGTTCAACAGGTACCAGGTACCGTATAGAGTAACGATCGGGGTTCGGTTTTGTGAAGGTGAAATTATCCATCTGTCGTGCGTAAAATCAGTCAATCTTTTGTTGTGCGTTAAGTAGATAAATCTTTGCGTTAAGTGCGTTAAGGACGCATAATCGAAACGGAGAAATTTAGAAATTTGTTGTGAAGGTTGAGATCATCTTCAAAACTCAAAAAGGATGCTCAAAATCATCTACCGTGACGACTCATTGGACTCTTCCATATATGTGAAACTTTTCAGAATGCTTTTTTTACTACAACAACAACAACAACCCCAACAACCCCGACAACAATAACAAAACCCCCAGAAACAGCATGACAATATTTGCCGCTCCAGAAGGAGAGCAAAAAGAAGTTTTATGGTACGACAAGAGTGAGCGAGAATGTTTGTCGAAATTAGAGGCAGCCGAAACGAGTAAAGATGAGGGTGAAGAGTTTGACCTCTGGCAAGAATCCAAGTCTCTTTTGGGAATCGCTCTTCCCGCCGTTGCTGTACAATTTAGCGTCCTGTTTATCTTTCCTCAAACAGCATCTATGGTGGGAAGAAATCTGGGAAAGGAACAATTGGCAGGATTCTCATTGGGGTCACTTGTGGGAAATTTGACTTGCCTTTCCGTCATGGTGGGTGCCTTGACAGCTGCTGACACACTTATGCCTAGAAGCTTTGCGGCGGAAAACTACGCAGAAATGGGAAGATTGGCAGTTCGAGGAATGATTTTATGCAGCCTATTATTGATCCCACCAGTAATTCCACTATGTACAATGATGGAATGGGTGTTTGACAAGTTGGGCCAAGATCCAGAAGCTTCACATTTGGCAACTCAATGGATTCGGATATACTTGATTGGTGTTCCAGCGATGCTTTTGTTTCGAGTGGTCCAAAGTTTCTTGAACGCCCAACATCAAGTATGGCCCATGGTCTATTCCAGTCTTGCCGCTTGTTTTCTGGTACATCCCTTTTTGCTCAAGATCTTGGTATCAAGATTGGAATTCATTGGTTCCAGTCTGGCCATTTGCATGACACAATACGTCATGATTGCTTTTCTGTTTGCGTACATGTGGTTCAATCCAGTCCACCAAAAGGAATCCTGGCCTGGAATGAGCAAAACATTTTTCCTCGAGTCCATTAGTCCCCGTCCAATGTTGGCGTTTTTGAGTCTGAGTATGGGAGGGGTTTTGAGTCTGAGCGAGTGGTGGTTTTGGTACGTCCGGTCCAAAGTGCATAACATTTGGTTGATGCATACATTGTACAACACAGTGGACACTACAAAACTCATTTATTTATTATTTATTGCAACCTGGGACAGGGAGACGGTTTGTTTCATTGTGGGTTCTTTTGGCGTCGTTCCGCTCTGTGTCCACACGATTGCCTACCAATTAGTCCCATTGCTGTTTATGATTCCGCTGGGCATCATGATAGGCTTGACGGTAAGGCTTGGCCACTTGATTGCCTATGATGTCCCAAAAGCCAAAAAGTTGGCTGCCTGGTGCATGGGATTCACCACTCTTTTGGGATTGGTCGTGTCCACTCTGCTCTACAAGTTTCGAATTGGAATTGCCATGTTGTTTTCCACGGATGAAGAAGTCATTCAGGGATGCAAGGAGATTTGGCCCAAACTGTGCTATTATATTTTCGTCTTGTACATTTTTGGAATCAACAGTGCCATTATGAGGGCTCTGGGAATGCAATGGCAAATGGCTGCCATCATTTTTGGGTGTTTGTGGGTGGGGACACTACCAGCCTTGGCCTATTTTTCCATTCACCAGGGTGGTGGAATTGATGCAGTTTGGAGTACCTTGCCCGTTTTCTATACGGGCATGCAATTCCTGTTGGCCTATTCCTACATTCGGGAGGATTGGTATGAAATAAGCAAAGAGATTAGGAGGCATGCGCTTGAGAGCGTAGAAGAAGCCAACGGCAAGCTTGTGAATGAAGAAACCAAGCTGCTCACGCAAGAATCTCGATAGAGAAACATTGAGCTATACCAATTAGAATTGAAAAATAGTCTTAAGGGTATTATAAGTAAAAAATATAATTATAATATATAAGAATCTAAGAACATGGGTGCGTGTCCGTACCTACGGACACACTGATCAGGTCTCTAAATCAAGTCTAAACTTGGGTCAAGAGTTGTTCCAGAATGTTTCCGAGCTGTTCGTCATCTTCGATCTTCTCTGGAATTTGCATGTTTGGATCAAAAATGTTACGAAAGTCGTCCATGGCATTCCCGTTTTCCAGGAAAATCTCATCAATGGCAGCATCAAAGGCATTATCATCCGAGGCTGGGGCCTTGGGAGCTTGGAAATCAGTCATGAAACCAGCGCCCATGAGAGGAGTTGGCTGCATTTGCTGCTGCTGGGGCATCTGATAAGCGAATTGGTCTACAGCAGACACGCTTAGGGAGGGCAAGCTTGGAGTCTGGATGGAAGACATGACTGGAAAGTTCAACCTCAAAGCAGCAGGAGGCATGCTGCTGGTTTGAGGAAGACTTCTCATCTGCTTGGGACTTTGGTAGCTTCCATCTTCCACACTGGATTCATCGGATGTTGGTGGGGTATGTGTGACAGGATTCTGAAAGGGAAGAGTTGAAAGAAAAGAGAGATGTTAGCACAATGTATTCACGATTGGATTGCTTCAAGCTTTCCGCTTGTCATTCACAACTCAAAACTTACCATTGTATAGAAGTCAGGCTCATTATCAGGACTGCTGGCAGCCTTATACTTGGTTCCCTTGATCTTAGTTCTGCACATGGTCTTTGCGAGAAAGACTTTTCCCCGTAGGAATAGCTCGTGATAGTAACCCCCATTGTCCTTGCCTATCGTCAGCCTAGAAAACCCGTACAAGTTCAACTGTCGCTGAAAGCTTGTGAGCTTGGTCTGACGAAAGTATTTGGGCATGACATAATCAGTGAATTCCTTTGGTTTGTGAATCAAAAAGCACCTTCCATGTGGCTGCCACGATATAACATGGCTCAAACCATCTTCTTCCACCTGATCTAGAATGGCATGAAGCTTGATAGGAAAGGACATGGAGACTCCTCCACGGCGTTTTGAAGAGGGAACGTCCTGCAGGTCGTTCTCCGGGACATCATTTGCGTGATCATGATAGTTGTGGACCACGAAGTGACGATCGTTTAGTTTGGCTGTCTTGCCTGGCTTTTGGGGCTTGCGACGGCGTCTTGGCTTCGTGGCATCTTGCTTGGCTCCCATAAAAGGACTGTCCTGGACAGATTGAGGCATGCTCATGGGCATGGCGCTACGAGCATCCCCAGCGGAGGAGCTCATCATGAGAGGCATAAAGTTGCTTTGAAGGCGCTGAGAGAGCAAAGAAGGAGTCTTGGAAATCATCGAGTTAGGATTGGCCGTGGCCAAAGACCTAGGGCCTCGTCTTGCGCTGTTGGTAACACACATTGTTCAAACAGCTAAATCAAAAGTGTCTACTGAATTGCAATTGCTTTGACGTTAGTGTTGCTTGAAGAGGTGAAGTCTCTTTGAAAGAGGGTTGATTTTTGCTTTATTTGAGGCTCCGCTGCTGTTTCTCCCAACGAGCGCAATCGTTCCCCACCTCCGTTCTTCGCTCTGTACATTAAGTACCAGCATCGAAGAATGTACCACGAAATATCGTAGAAACGACACTTTTCCCTCCCAGAGAACTTGTCAATCAGATATTTATTAATGTTCTGTTGAATTCCTTAAGTAGACGCAATCGCAAAGGTGTTCGAACGTCATTACTCCCTATGTCTCCTGAGCACTATGACCCTCTAGGGCCGGAACGTGGCGAGCACGACACTTGAAATCGTTATTGGACACGGCAGTCTCGTCGTGGGGAGATGGTCCCAGAAGACCGCACCGGAGCGAAGGAATGAATCGTCAAATTGCAACTAAACAAGCGCCACTGAGCTGGAGCGATTGGTGCCACTTGACCTTTTATTACTAGCCTCCCTTTCGAATTGGTGAAAAGTTGGAGGGAGGTTTCCATCCATGCTTTTTCATTTCTTCCAAAAAGTAATTGGAAGGGCCGTCATCAAATCGCTCCAGTACCATTTCAAAGAACCTTCGAGCACTCATCCAATCTCGAGCATAATACTTTTCCAATCCTGAGGAAAAGTCTTGAATGACAGCCGTAGTGTACTTTTCTCGGATCATTCGAATATCTTCTTGGAGCCATTCGCGGTCTTTGTATTGTTGGACTCCCGTGGGAAGCTCTAGTTCCTTTTTGTCGGGAGCCGGTGTTGTCTTGGCTTTTTCCTTTTCAAACATGCCCGAGGCGTCGGCATTGTTGGCCGTTTTCAACTCGTCACTGGCGCCACTACCCCTACTCATACTCATGCGACGGCCAGGTCTTCGTTTGGCAAAGGACTGGTTCGTATTTTTTGGCTTTTCTTCTGGAGTGCCTTGATTCTTCTTCCACAATGTGCTCAAATCCATATCAAAGGTGAGCAGTTCCATTCGCATTTCCATTTTCTCATCAATCGAAGGCTCGTAGGTTTCATCTTCATCTTCTGGAAAGTACACTTGATCAATCTTGCGGCAACGGCGTTGGATTTTGGGATCCAACAGGGTATAGAAACTATCGGACACTAGCATTTTCAAACCGTATTGCTTGGTTGACGATTCCAAAAACTCGGCCTTTTCCACAGCCTCGCTTACATAGGTAGCATCAATCTTTCGTTGAGATCCAATGGCACCTTGGACAGCCTTTCCAGCGTGTATGCCAAATCCCATTTGGACAATGGCACCGGATCGCTTCTTCATTTTCGCTAGCAAAGCATTCCGGGCGTTTTCGGACATGGCCTTCATGTAGAAATCATCGTACTGGAGGGCCATGCAGATCTTGACCACGGACAATAGGGCCTTGTCGGCTTGATTGTGTTTGCATGTCAAAGTGTAGGACGTGTCATCATCGTCCAGCAGCCAACTCACAAGAAAGGCGTCTCCAACATTCTTGTTGGCAGAACCTCCGTAAGAGTGACAAATGGAATGAACCACGGCCGCAATACGGTTGGTAAAGACAAAAACTTCTTCTTGCAAACTCTCAGTGGCATCTGTGAACTGACGGATATCGCAAAACAGAAAAATACATGATACGGTGGAACCCTGTTCGTTCAAAATCAGCGTATTCGTTTTCTGGCCCTTTTGCAAGTTGTTCCGGATAATCTCGACTCCAGCGCTTCCAAATCCCACTTTCATGAGATTTCCAATTTGCAAAATTGTTGACATTAGAAAGGCAGTCTCCATTCCTTTGAGCACATCCTTAGTCCACTGGGATTTGTCCGCAATGATATCCTCTTCAAACAGAAACTTTTTGAATCGAGAGTTGTTTTGGTATCCCAAGGGATCTAGCGTCAACATCCCCAGTAGCCGAACCATGCGTTCAATAGGAGTAATAACCAGCGTCATGATAGGCCCAGCGAATGCAGCAACACCCAGGAACCAAATGAGGCAAGAGAAAATGGTGGCAAAGAATTGAATCCGAGCTTCGTCCACCCGCTCCTCGCGAAAGACAAACAGGCCCTTGGAAATGTTGCCATCAACGTCGGTGACAGTAATTTGAAGTTTCTCTCGTTCCCGCAGGTCGTTGATGATGTAGCCAACGCCATATTCAAAAGGTGTCTCGACACTTTTGGTTTGGTATTCGAATAGACCTGGAACGGAAATTCTGGCCGCATCCAATGCCCTTTCAATTGTATAGTTGCCAGTGTTGACAGCATTCACACTCTGACCATGCAAAACTACCATGGCAGCAGGTGCGGTTGCTTTGTTCTCAAAGTACGAAAATAGAAGCGTCAGCAGTAAACTGGCCAAAATCGTGATGGCCAACCTTTGTCCTGTTATTTCTGCCATGGCCCTTCCAACTTGAGTTTGTTCTTTGATATCCATAGTCGAAGAGTTTCGAAATCGTGGTCCGCCATTTGTTGGTTGTCCATTGGCTCCTCTCATACTGTGTAGTCTCGTCATGCTCATTTTCCATCTCCAGGCTCTTTGAATTTTAATGGCTGCTAGGTGACGTTTCAGATCACGATTTGGATCCGATACCAGTCCAAAATAGTGCAGGGCTCTCTTTGCAGGGCTGTATCGGACACCGATTCCCTCTGCCTTGAGTTTGGCTGCAGCGGACAAGTCCACTCCTTCCATGTCACTCTTTTTCATTGCTGCTCGTCGTTCTTTGAAGCGTTCATAATGCCAAATTGGGTTACACCTCTTGAGATAAAAGTAAAAGTTGATTTTGCTAGAAATATCAATCACTTTGTCAGAAGGAATCAAACGGGCGATTCGAGCGGCCTTGGGTACCAAAACGAGCAACTCGGGGCTGAAGGAAACTGGGACTTTGCTGTTCACTTGATCAAAATTTGTCTGGCAAAGGAAAGGTAGGGGTAGACAGTGAGATTTGTGTATATTTCGAGATCAAACCAATGTCACTGAAGCAGTAATTCACATTATCCAATCCAAACCCAACCAACCCAACTTACCGGTACTCCATAAGCATCCAGCTCAATATCAATCGTTGGAGATTCAAACTCTTCTTCGTTGATATAAGAGATGTCGTACAGCATTGCGAAAGATGAAACGACGTCACACCAAAACATAAATGATCCAATGCCAAACGACCTTGAAGATTGTCCTTCCTGCCGTTGCCGATTCCAGCACGTGTTGAATCCAAAATATTCTGGGTTGATCACCATATTCATGATTGTGTCGATAACAAAAACCGCAAATGCAACCGTGTATAAAATATCAAAGATTATGTCAGCCTCTTTTGGAAAGAATATAAATTGAATGGATGATCCAAAGAGTAAGAGGACCATAGCAATTAGAATGGTAGCTTTCCATATCGGGCTTCGAACAACTTTGTACATGAACCTGCTGATTGGGGTGCGATGTAACGGAACATTCTGTGGATCCATAATTTATTAAAATTATATTGGAGACGCCTGTGGAATAATTATGCTGATCTTTTCTGAAAGCAACGCTGGAAACAGCTTGAAAGGGTTGTTGTTGTAAGAGTATTGATGGGTGTGGAGAGTATTATGTTGCATTCCCAACTTCCGTTTCTCGTCGCTCACTTGAACTTGTTTGTCGCCTTCAAACGGTCGAACTAGTCGAACATGTCTCCTGTTCTTCGAAATTTTGGAAACAAAATTGAATCGATTATTTGAGAATAAGAATAATATCTACCAAACAGCAGCTGTGACATCGAAACGGATTGCATGATTCTAATATTAGTATTAAGCAAGCTTCAAAAGGAAACTTGAGATACTAGTGACAATTCATATTGCACCTTATCATCAAGGACTCCTTTTTAAACTGCTCCTTCTACTAGATCAACTTCTGGATCGGAGGTATGTACTCTAAAATCGCTCCGATCCTTTTTGTGCGTATCCCAACTCTTCCCAGCCAAGAGTTGCCCGAATCTTCTGTAAACGTTTCAAGTTGGTGTTGGAATCACTAACAGGTTGTGTCAGTGGATAGACAAAGACAGATGTTCGGCTCGCTGATCGATACAACACCAGATTGTCTTCTGGCCGCAAGATAAACTCCAAATCGTCCAAACTACCAGTCCCTGGTGGCGATTGAGTCGGAACCGTTGCATGCAAATAAGAATCGGTCAACTCCACAATTTGCATGTTGGTGTCCGCATTCAGAACAGCTGATTGCAAGGATTTCCATGCTTTCGTTGCGTCCGATGTTTCCGTCAGGTAGGTCCAGGGTGGTGAGAAACGAGATGGATTCTTGACGGATGATGTAGAAACACCGTTTTCGGTGGCCGAGACTCTCGAAAGACGACCATCGGCATTGTTGACTTGCAAATCACCGACACAAGTTACAACCGTTTGGGAAGGATTTGTCGTGGTCTTGCAGCCCCTTCGTCCGGCTTGAGTAGGAAAACTCTTAGGGGGATCACTAACCTCTGCTGACGCGGAGCTGATGACAAGGAACCCTTGAGTTGCCAATCCGATGGTAGCCGCAATTGTAGATCGGCGAGACAGCATCAGCTCATTTCGTGGCAAGGGCGAACCCATTTTGTTGCCACTCATTGGTTGATGATTCCATGCTTCGCATGTGCAAGACGATAAGATAAGAATACTATATATCGAGCATAGAACGGTGGATAAAGACACCATGTTGGCTGCGATTTATTGGATGTATTTTAGACAACTAGAGCATGAAATGGATGGCGGATGACGTCACAGTATGCGACCGCTCCGACTTCATGAAGGATTGGTTTCAATGGAAACGAAACGAAACGAAACCCATCCATTCATCCGCTCGTTCATTCATTCAAACTGCTGTCAAAACTACCACACCAATACTTTCATGTTTTCAGCAAATGAAAATATAGTGCTGCGGCAACACAAACGCCGCATTGTACAATATGTAGAAGAAACAATGCCTGACGAAGCCCTTGATTTTGGAACCACAGTGATGGTCATGCAAATCACCTGCAAGGCTCCTGGCTGCGTCCCTTTGGAAACTGCCATCATCATTGTATTTCCGCAATCTCCAGAAGAATTGATTCCTGATTTACCAGAAAGCAAAGATGGAGGCTCCTACAAGACCAAAATATTGAAACCAATGGCGGAAGTCACCAAAGACGATGTGTTGGACTCCTTGCCGTCCCAATTCACAGGTGGACGAAGGACTATGGAGAAACTCTGCATTGGAGCCCGCGATGTCATGTTAGCACAAATCACGCAGCTGTTTGGGGAAGAAAGTGATAGTACTGTGGGTGATCGTAAAGCCATGGCAGAATATATGCAGCTGTGTCTTCAGCAGTACATTGACAATGGTTGCAAGCCACCGCCACTTGGAGTACCCGTTGCGATGATTCCATCCAAAGCGCAAAAGGGTGGCGTCACTATAGACGCTCAAACTGATACAAAAGAAACTGGCAAGGCTCCGATCGGCGCCAAGAGTGCGGGGGGTGCCGAAGAGGAGGTTCAAGAGGAAATGGCGAATTTGTCAGCATCATCAACAACAACCACCACCGTCACCAGTGCACGAGCCTCCGCCGTGAGACATTCCAACAGGGTGAACAATTCGATCAATCCAACCAGATCAATATCTAACTTATTCAACCGAGAGCATGCGCCGGGAATTCGACAACCAGGTTGCCCTTGTTGTGACCCAGATAACCCGAACGGTATAATGGGGCAAATGTTGAATATTTAGGGTTAGGGTTGGTTCTATACTGTGGTATATAAATCTAGAGAACTATGTATGGCAATTCAATGACGAGAGGCTGAAAAGCAGGAATAGGAATTGAAAGAAGATAGGAGGATGACTATTATAATCGGCACACTTAATTATCAATTCTTATCCCTCACCGTCAACCGACATGTCTTGATCTACAGTACATCTATATCCATATCTGTGTTGATGTCTTGATCATTATCCATGGCTGTGTTGTTACATGTTGTTTGGTTTGATCGTTTGGTTGGATTTTCATTTTTTGATATGTGTTAGAGGCGACCAAAACCAGTCCAAAGAATCAAATGAAGAACAGTTGTTCAATTCATGTCCGCGTCCGTTTCAGATGCGGACACTGCAAACAGCACCACGACGCCGCTCGTAAATGTCTGTTGTACCTACTGTATTCTTTGGGATTGCACTTGAGACTCTATACCCAAATCACGCATTGCTTCATCGCACAATACTAGACAAAGACCATTCGCACTGGCTTTCTAGACTTTCCACGATCCAAACAGACAATTGATTGACTTCGACAAGCTTTTCAGAGGCAGCCGTTGAAGCAATCAATTCAACTTCCGAACAACCCAGCCACTGTCCAGATTAGTACTTCCGTCCAATCCATGCAATCATGCGGAGGTCTATGCATACCAACAATTCCTCAAGCTTTGGTGCTGGAGATAGTGTCTCCATGTCACGCAGTTCCCAGGCGTTTCGGTCTTCCATTATGCTCGAAAGTTCCGTATCCGCCCAATCGAATGCAAGGTCCTGCTGCACCAATTGCTGGGAATCAACCACTATGAAAATCATCAGGCTTCTTATGAAGAAGGCCATTCGCTCGGTGGTATGGAGAGCGCTGCTGATTATTTTGTCAATATATCTCTTATTTGGTTCTCAGATTCGGCACTTATTAATTCCATCATCTATGGATGGTGCGTTTGACACTATTTCTTTGGTAGTCTTTGGATTTTTCATTCTTGACATGATCATACGAGTGATGATATATCCAACTTACTTCAGTATTGGTTGCTGCAATACTAGTGGTGTGAATGGTGGAAATGATATTCAAACTGGTTGTGTAATTGGAAGTTTTGTGTTTTGGTGTGATCTTGTGTCTACCATTACTTTACTCTATGACATTTCTTGGATCAACAAAGATGAATATAGTGTGAGGGAGATTGAAATTCAACTGAATGAATTTGGAATACCGGTAAGTGCCCGATGAAAATCAGATGCCATCTTGTACATGTGTTGGCCGACTAGTTTTCTGACAAACGGTTTTACCCAATCTAGATTGCTGGCGTTGGTCCCCACAGTAGGCTCGGCTTGGGGGAAGTGGAAATCGAATTATTGTTGACCATTGCCCGTACTGCTCGAGTTGTTCGGTTCATTCGATCTCGTACAGTGGTGAACATGAGTAACAAAGTGAACTGGTATTGGGCATTTGAAAAGTTGCGATGGCTTGACCCATTCTATTGTCGACGAAAGCTACGCAAGAAGAAGAAACCAACCCAAAGGAATTCTCTGGGTATGGCAACCGAGCACAATCCACGTGCTGGAATGGGAACTGCAGCGTATCAGAGGGGAATCTCCGCTGCGGTTCAGGTTCGGGAGGAAATGGAAGCTAGACAAGCTAGAGAATCGTCGAAGCGATGGTCTGTGATGAGAGTATTGCAAACTATGGGTTTACGAGATAGCGATAAAGGTGCACTGTCGGAAAATGAGGCAGCGAAGCGGATTCAGCGGGCCTGGCGAAAGCATTTCAAAGCCGGTCAAGGCTCGTACAGTAGCGAAAGTTCCGACTTGCCAGACACTGGTTCAGTAATGGGTGGGAACTCGAGAAAGAGTGGCACCTTTCGAATTGCTAGTTCTCGATTCCAGCAGAAGTCTGGAACACTGCAGGAATCACAAGTTGGTAGTGATATGAGAGAGCTCACGGGACAACGGGTGGCATTAGGGGTTCTTTTTTCTCTAGTATTCACAGTGCTGTTCACGTACACAGAGCCGTCAACAACAACAGAGTCCGCAATGATCGTGCTCCACAACCAAACGAGAAATCTTGCGTTTGAACGACCCGTTCTTAATGCTGCCAAAGATTCATCTGTTCCACATCTATTCAAATACAAGACATCTAGGGACCATGACTTTGATCTGCCTTTGACTGACATTAATGGAAACGAGCTCAAAGAACGCGATCAGCTTGTTGTGACGGTGATCGATCCCGACGACCGAAAATCGATTGGATGGTTCTCAAATCGTCGATTGGAAACTCAAAAGGCTCTGACGTCAATTGTTGCAACCTTTTTCATCATCATTATTTGGTTCGTTGGAATGTCAGCATTTGCAGGGCCGGTCATGGTACTTGTTGTCACACCGATTGAGAGGATGGTCAGGCTCTTGGGCATGTTAATGCTTGATCCACTGGGGTATCAGTCAACGACGAAGTTCAAGAAGTTCCTCAGGGAAGAAGACGCACTAATCCAAGGGACTCGATGGACCAAAAAAGTTTTGAGGGGGATGGAAACTTCGTTTCTCATGTCTACAATTCTGAGAATTGGATCTTTGATGAAAGTTGGCTTTGGTGGTGCTGGAGTCGAAATCATTCGTAACAACTTGCAAAAGGGCCAGACCAAAAATGTGCTGATTCTTAGTTCTCAGGGTTCCACAGTCTCTTGCATCTTTCTGTTCTGTGATATTCGTCAGTTCACCAACGCAACAGAAAGTCTGCAAGAAGAGGTTTTCGTTTTCACAAATCGAATCGCCGCGGTGGTTCATTCGATTTGTCATTCCTATGGTGGGGCTGCAAATAAGAACGTTGGTGATGCTTTTCTGCTCAGTTGGTCACTTGAGGATCCTGAGAGTAGTCGAGTATCGAGAGCTCGGAGTATGGGAGACAGCGGTCTCAGAGCTTCCAAGGAGCAGGCTGACAAAGCACTGCTCGCAGTTACAAAGATTAGCCAAGCGCTGTACTATGATAAGTTTTATCTGGAACCGTTGAGTGAAGTTGCAAGAGCCAGACTAAAGGAGAAGCTACTGAAAAAGAAGACCGGCCCTGTTGTCAAGATGGGTTTCGGCTTGCATGCTGGAAAAGCTGTCCAAGGTGCCATTGGTTCGCAGCGAAAAATTGATGCGACGTATGTTTCCGAAGCAGTCAACAGAGCTGAATTCCTTGAATCAGAAACGAAGACATATGGCTTGCAGCTTCTTATGTCGGGCATTTTCCACAGCCTTCTGACCGAAAGCACGAAGAGGCGTTGCAGAAAAATTGATCAAGTGTATGTCCCAGATGACGATGATGAAGACGATGAAGACGATGGCCATTGGAGGGACGAGGATGAGTTGATTCATTTACATACGTTCGACATGGATATCAGTGCAATATACCGAACGCCTCAACCACGAAAGAGTGCTCCAAAAACAGACATGTCATCCGACGGGGGATCAAGTGATCTTGAAAAAGGCCGTAACAAGCGTTTGGAACGTGTTCGGTCTAACCGTAACATGCGGAACCGTCGGCGATCGTCCCTATCCCTTCGCCCAAGCGGAAGACTTTCTCTTTCCGTTTCGGAAGAGGTACAATCGGCTGTAATGGATGGTGCAAGTGTCAGCTCAATGCGGACCGCTGAGGAGCCTTCTGATTTCAGTGGACCTCAAGATCTCGTTTTGCCGCGAGGCCCTGCTATATACAACAAAAATGCGTGGCTGTCACCAGAGATGAAACGCATGCGCGAAAAATACGTACAAGGTCTCTTCTTTCAAAACTATGCGAAGGGTTTGAAAGCATTTTACAACAAAGATTGGGACACGGCGAAGCAATGCTTCCAAACGGTACTCAATGAATCAGATGATGGGCCGTCTCGTCATTTCTTGAAGAGAATCAAGGAATGTAACGGAGTGCCACCCAAGGACTTTGTGCCCTACAGGAAAATGTGATTGTATGTAGTAGTTCTATTAGTCAACAACAGTTGTTTTATTATTCCACCTTCTGTACCGGTACTGCAAGGAACGAAAAGGTGGGACTAAAGTAGGCTTTTGAAACATCCAACCACCTTTTTTCGATCGATATCATTTTGTAGGTGGAGATTTTCAAAGGCGATGGACACTGATGATGCTCTTGGACCATCCCGAGAATCGGAAGACTCGGCGCTTTCAAAGGTTCTGCTTATTCTCTTATCCTCTGTGATCGCCATTCTTGTTGCTTCAGTAAAATGGAAGCATAGTTTCAAGCTCTTTCTTATTCCGAACAACAATGCAACAAAAGCACAACCAAAGACTTCTCCACCAACCGTTCCCTTTATTTTGATTCGAAAAGAAGGAGATGTTCTCCCATCCCGGAAAATCCGGAAGTCAATGGATAAATACAAGAGCGATACCTATCATGCTCTCAAAGGACTGAGTCAACAAATGGATCAAGCAATCGAACTTGAACATGGACTTTCGATTCATCAAGGAGCCAAGCTATCCACAAAGATCCAAAGAAGAATACAAAAACTGTCCGATATCTTTGATCACAATGAGAAGATAATTCGAAGTCTTCTTGCTCCCATGGATTTTATTACATCTCTTCCAGATAATGGAATCATCCAGTCGAAGGGAGAAATGTTGAAGAGAGACGAGGAAGTGTATTCAGAAAGTGGACAAAGCAACCCGAACTATCCGAATCCATCCACATTACCCCATTCATCAAAGCAGAATGCAACAAACTTGCTAGAAGAGAATGTCTATGATATGACGGCCCAAATCATTGCCCATTTGGTGCGAGATTGGTCAGCTGCTGGGTCCAACATTCGGGAAAGCCTTTACTTGTGGGTTTGTCGGGAACTAGTGAAACGATCCAGGCATCGACAAGACCCTGTACTGGTCCCTGGTGCGGGGATGGGACGACTTGCCTATGATATATACTCACTTGGCTTTACAGTCGAGGCCAACGAGATATCCCCGGTGATGGCGGCGGCCGCAAAGTCCATTCTAATAGAGAATAGTTCTGGTTTGATATATCCATATGCCTTGGATGCAATGTCCAATGAGGTAGAATCTTCGAGGCGATATGATAAAGTGTCCTTTCCAGATGTCCCTGTGGTACATCTGTCAGAAAAATTCTCGCTGTCCTTTACGATTGGAGACTTTGCCGGAGCCTATTATTCAACTCAAGCTTCGACTTTTGGTGCCGTCACGACCTGCTTCTTCATTGACACTGCTACAGATATTTACGAATATATTGCATTGATTAAGGGCTTGCTGAAGCCAAAGGGTATCTGGATAAATGTTGGTCCGGTCCAGTGGCATGCAAATGCTCTGTTGCGACCGTCGGCAGATGAATTGAAAGATTTGCTCCTAGCCTTTGGATTCACAATCATCACTTGGAGTATCGACAACAAACCCGTCCCCTACCGACATGACAGCGCCTCCGACGGAAGCGGAAGAGATTCATTTGTACGATCCACAAGTTTTGAAGGCTATCGTCCACTGAGATTCGTGGCCATTCGAGAATATTGAAAAATGTGCTTTGCTTCAGCTACATTTTATTTTATGTTGTTTGGACATTGGTAGGAATTGAAGAATACCCACTTCTTCGACGATTCCAGCAAGATGCTGCTAGCATCCCAGATACAAAGCAAACGATTGCCACCGTCAGCAGCAAAATTGAATGAAACCATTGATGCCTCGAACGGGCCCTATTCCCCTTTGATAGTCCTTCGAATGCTGGAATTTCAACGTCCATGTAGGCCTCGTCGTTTACAAAACGGGTGATCAAATCAAGAGCAGGTACCGGTACATTATTGGGAACCAAATGCCCAGAGTTGTAGACAATAACAAAGTCAAGTTTGCCGTACGTCTTGGCATACCCCGCCATATTGTCTTCGACCATCCAAAGCCCTCTTTTGGCTTCGTTCTTCCAGCCATTCGCTCCGTCCCAATTCATTTCATCCAGGAGTTTCTCTGATCCTTGAGCGCAGACACTGATATCTCGATCACCATTGTAAATAAGCACTCGAATTCCTGCCTCATCCAGAAGCTCTGCGACGTACGGCACTACGGATTCTGGCTTGTCGTGCACGAGGAGGGTTTTCCCGGGCAAAAGTTCTTCTTCCAATCTTCGACCAGCCCCAGGAATGCATCCCATCCATGGCACTGTTATGTAATCGGGTACGTTGAGCGCCTTTCGAACCTCAGGATTACTCATGAACACATCAAATGTGTTGTTTGCATCATTCAAAATCGGATATGTATCCCAAGTTGTCACGTCGTAGACGTTCGGAATCTTATCCGGGAAGAGGCCAGCACCGGCAGCTTGCATGGTCGCCCCCATAATGTTGCACTCATCGGGGACATTAAAGTCGTGAAGTGGAGGATCCAATTTATCGCCTGCTTTGCATGCATCCCAGGCTTCAAACAAGTTGGCACGTGTTGGAGAGTCGATCATGCCGTGCCAGTAGGCATAATCAATGACTGCGGACCCCTGTCCCATCGCATCCATCCATCCTATTTCGCAGCAAAATTTTACACTTTTAGATTCAAATCGAATCTCATTATTCGTGTCATGGTGATATTATGTTCCCTTACCATTCCCTAGTGCAATTCCACTCAAATTTATCGTCCTGTGTTCACCCTTCACATTTTCGGTATGGATCTTATGGGCAATCGACGGAACATACATCCCGGCATACGACTCGCCGAAGATGAAAAGCTTCTTCGTCGCCATGTCTGGAAACGTTGTAAAGAAGTTCTGCAAAAAGTTGTAAAAGTCTTGAGAAAGATCTGCCTCGTCAGTTACTGTCGGACCCCAAGAAAAGCCAACATTGGTCGGCTGCTCAATAAACATCATGTTTGTAGCACGTGTCCAGGCCCATTTATTATGGGTAAACGGTTCATCGTAAGAAGTCTTTGGATACCCTGCCCGATAGTGAGGAGATGTGACGGGGGCCGTTTCAAAGAAATTTCCAGCACTGAACGATGAGCAACCTGGTCCACCATTGAGCCAACTGAGTTGGATTTGAAGGCATGAGTTGTCTGCGACTTGTCCGTACAGTGACCAATTTACACTCCACAGTACTCACATTGTTATGCTATCTAGATCTTTATTGGCTTGAAACATCCAAAACATTAGTTCCCCTCTCTTTTCTTCGTTCTCTTTTCCCGATTCTTCAATGTCGATTGGCAACAACCCAGCGTACATCTTGCCATCAAACTTTGCATAATTCGGCTCGATCTTTTCTAGACCTTCGACAAGAAAGTCCGAAGCATGGTATGCATGTGTCGATATCACCAGTGAGCTAAAAATGGAAATAGCGAATACATTCATTGTCATCGAAAATATGGCCCACCTAAAAATGACTGATGCTTTGGATCCAGGTGTCAATGAATGAGAATCTCACAGCCATCCAATCAATCGATCCGATCAACGTATATCAACTGTTCCGACTCTTTGGACTAAATCTTTTACTAATGGATTTTGTTTTTTAAAACTGGGATCACGATTTCAGATTGCGTTTCTGCAGAACTAGTACCAGTGTAACCAATTACTGTGAAACTTTGACTCTTTGGCGAGACTTTCCGAGCTAGAAAATAAATATCTAATAGCCGAAATATTTGAGACGAGGGCTGGATAATTCTAGTAGGGCTTGGCACTTTTCTGCTCAAAATCCTCTTTCGGCTGTGTTTGAGTGCGGGGTGGGCTTTCTTCGCGGTGTTGTGCATATGCAGGTTCCACATGCTCCTGAGCTTCAAGAGAATCATCAATCTCAAACTCCGTATCCAGTTCAGCGTTGGCCCTTGCGGTGTTTTGGCATTGATCTACCAACTCTGTTCCCACTTGACTTTGTTTGCAAAATGTTCGAGGAGGCTCCAAATGCTTGTGGCGAAAGGCCCAACGAATGCGGTGACAGACTCGTCTGACGAACTGGTGTCTTTTGTTGGCGACCCAGATTCCACCAAAGAGAACTCCAAGGATCCATCCGACAAAAATAGCCGCCTCTGTCCCTAGGACAGATCCCAAAAGCAATGCGGAGTCTGCCGCTGCGAAGGCGAAGTACATGATCATGAAGATCGAATAGAAGAATCCAGTAAACATATTACTAGGACTGAAGACTTGGGCAATGTGGTAGAATGATGCAGCCACAAAGTAGAAAATGCTAGCTGAGAATTCGAAAACAAGGGTGAAAAAGGTTGCATGGAAGGTTGTGATCAACGCAATGCACATGTCCACCGGACTGGACCTGAGACAGTAGTGTGGGAGCTTTTGCTCAGGCTCTTCTTGCCTATCTGCAGGTGTGGACTGTTCGGTCAAGTCATCTGATGCATGAGTTGTTGTGGATAAAACGTACTTCGCTTCTCCATCACTAGTTGCGTTGTACTGGTGGGCATTGGGGGGGTGAGCCTCCCTTTCGCCATCTGCAGCTGGAACGGCAACTGCAGTAGCACAGGGCATGTTCACGGTCTGCTCATAAATAGACCACCATGGATTTCCAGGAATGAAGAATCGCTCATCAATCTCGATCTGCGCATTCTCAGGGTGGAGGGTAGCAATCCAAGAAATGTACTCAGAACTTGCTCCAGAGTTATGAACAAGATGGTTGTCCAGATGGTCGCGAATGATGGATTCTCCAGCTGCTCTCGCTTCTGCTGCTTGCAGCTCGGGATCTTGATTTGCTCGGTTTAGGATTGGCGGGGACTTCATGGTGCTAATAGTTGTTTCGGACTGATGTAGTATCTTGGTTCTGTGGTGCAAACTATGAGATACTGCAGCGAGCGAAAGACAAATCAATCGGGCTATGACTGGTATTAACCATGATATTTGACGCGAACTAAAACGAGCATTTGAACTCTATTGTGTTTCATGAAACTTTCATCTCCTGATTCGTGAACCTACTCTTGCTTTTCTTGGGACTTCGCCCAAGATTGTCACGATTCGATCCATTCGACATCAATGTAAGGCAGCCAGTCAGTCAGTCAGTCAGTTAGTTAGTCAGTCAGTCAGTCAGTCAGTCAGTCAGTCAGTCAGTCAGTCAGACTACCTCAAAACACCACCTGACCAACATGTATGATTCATTCAACATAATAATGGGGTACAATCACCGACCATACTGTACATCTTGAGCCACGTCTAACACTTTTTAAAAAAACCACAAATTATTGAGATGTTCCCAGTCAGAGAAAATAAGAAACGGCCGCGAGAAACAGCGGAGAATGGAGAAGGACCAAGCGCAACATTGTCCGAAATTTGCAGTTTCTGTCGCGGATCACCAACCGCCCTCCAAGTGCTAGTTCCAGTTCGACATCGAAAGAAGCGAGTTCCAGCGTCTTATTGTGTTTTCTGCTATTACACAACATCAGTGGTTCGACTAGATGCAGATAAATTTGTAGCTGTGTACGACCAATCTCAGCTAGACGAACAGCTACCTTCCGTCCAAAAGATATTTGGTGAGGTATTTGTTGAAATTCGAAAGGAGCTTGAGGTTGAATCGGAACGCGCCTTTCAGAAACAAAAGGCTGATCCTTTGGCGATGCTTCATCGTGCTCCAAATAGAAAGCTAAAGGCACCACCAATGGGACCAGATAAAAAGGCTGGCAAGAAAGCAGATGGAGGATTCTTACGAGACATACCGATTCCAGAACGCCTCCTGCAAACACAACAACGACAGGCTGAGCTACAACGAGCTCAAACTGAACGTATGAACCGAGTAGCAAGTCAAAATGATGAGTCTGTCAGCTTATTTCAACGACGCAAAGCGTCAAAGAAATCTATTTGGAATCTTGCCATGGAAACTTCCAAACAAGCTAGCACTAAGCCAATTTCTTCCATCAACGAAATGGCAATCGAAGCGTCGGCAACTTGCTCTTCATGTGGAAGTACAAATATTCGTAGTTTCGGGAATATTACTAGTCGCAACCAAGATATGAGAAAGGGTGAAACTTGGGGTATGAAAGATAGAGGCGGCGAGGTTGTGTCAAAGTATCAGTGCAACAGCTGTGGGAAGACATGGCATGAGGAAGACTAAACTTTCATGGGAATCGTTTTTCACATGCCATATAACGGTCATAAATGGTTACAAGTCACTCGCTGAAGAAGGACGTGACGCACGAGGTTTCAAGATGGATGAAAGCTCCTTAGCATATTCGATTCCATTGTTTCCTTCTTCGCCAATAACCCAAAACATGAATCCGCGAGGTGTCACCCCATATTCAAGCAATTGACGGTATGCTGATTGAATCTGTTCCGACGTGAAAAATATGACCTTTTCGCCTTCATTAATGGCCCACCCATTCGCCAGGCCGATCACGAGCTTGGACAAGGGAAGTTCCACAGTGCGACTCGAGTATTGGAGGGTTTTGTCCTGCTCAAAGTCTACGTACCATTGCCCCTTATTTTCATTGTAACCATTAACAAAAGTTTTTAAATAATCCCCAGGAAGCACTTTGCCATAATGTACACTCATGGCAGCTCGTGAATAGGATTCGTAGAGTTGCACCGACACAAAGTTAATATAGGCTCCAAATCTGGAAAAGAGATAGGCATAGACATTGCTTCCGAAATAGTGAAACTCGTTATGCCTGGTAAATAACACGAGCAATATAAATCTGATCGAACGTCGAGATAATTGACACTGCACTATGAATGTACGAGTACTCACCACCGTCGATCTGGTTCTGCAAGATTGACAGATCGCGAGAAACTGGACCGGCCAAGATCGAAATACGATTGAGGCGGGGCCATCCCGATGATGTATCCATCTTCGTTAGCCAAACGACTGATATCGCCCATTAGATTTAGACATTCAACAGAAAATGTATTGGTTGGACTGTCCAAATTATCATGCCCCTCCAAGTCCCAATCAATTCCATCAAAGATATCACCAACGTGATTTTTCCAAATCTCATACCATTGTTTAGCGGTTAGCGATGTATCCAGATGGGGCCCATTCCATCCTGATTTATGGTGAGATCAGGTCTTAGAGTTAAACATATGTTGGATATAGGTGTCGAATATCCTACCTCCAAATGACACCAAGTGAAGCGTATCCTGGTACCCTTCTGTATCCAACTTCGAAATCAGCTGGCGGATATTATCAAAGTTCAATGAATTTTCGGTGATGATGATTTCACCGGTAGATATCTCCTTGCTAATCTCCATAAACGACCAAACCACGACATTCACTCCAGCAGCGATGGATTTTGCCACCTTTTCATTGCAATCTGTTGCATACCCAATCAACACTTTTTCGGGCAGTCGCCGCCTTCTGCCTTGCCGTCTTTGTTGGAAGTCTGATTTCGATAAAGCGGCTGTGAGTTCCATCCAGCAAGATATCCAAAGGAGAGTGCAAAGCAACAGGGGGGGCTTTCGCACTGCTGGCATCTTTGTTTTGTAAGAAGGGTGGTGGGTGGTGGTGACAACGGGAAAATATTCTGCATAAGATTTTTTTAAGTTATTCGGATGAATCAAAAATAAGTCGTCTAACGACTACACTTCCACAAAAGTTACTCCAAAGCGAAATCAGAAGATCTACAAGCGTTCGCACTTCTCCTGCAACTCGCCAACCTTTCCATCTGCTCCCCAGTCCTGATAATACTGGATTGCGTTACTGAATTGGTACTTCGCTCCTTCGGGATCGTCGCACACATCCAACAGGAAATCAGCATACCGCTCGTTGAACATCCCAGCGTGGTGCAGTTCTCCATTTCGCCCTGCGAAGACAATGGCTTGCTTATACTTTTCCGTGGCTGCTTCAATCTTCTTGGATAATGCAGCATCTTCTGCATCCAACAACATTACAAAATGAACAACATTTGGATTCCCAGCTTTTTCCCATCGCTGGAGTATTTTTCGAAGCCTTTTTGCAGCGACCTTGTATTTCCGCTTCTTGGTACGACGGGCCATCACATACAAAGAAACCGCTTGATGGAAGTTGTCAATCATAGTTAGAATGGTTCCAGGAAGAGACTTCTTCAACAGGTCTCCATTCTGAATTGAAATATCCGCCGCAGCTTCGAGGTCGGAGAAGAAAAGTATTTCGCATTGGGTAAAGTGCACGGTACCAATGTATATTGATGTCGTTTTCCATTCGTCGGGGATGAAATAGGCACCGGTGGAGCGAAGGGATTGGCGACCATTTTTTCCCTGCAAGTTCTTTATCAGATGAATCATGAGCTTCAGTGTAACCACGTGATCTGCCCTGCCGCCCTCTTCAACATGGGTCAATGCTTTTTGGCATTCTTCCAAAAGAGGACCCAGTTTCTTGCCAGTGATATATGGCACCATGGCAACTGAAAACAGTAAACTCCAATTGGCATATTCTGTATCGCCTGCCCTCATGGATAAGTTATATGCTTCTGCTAATAACGGAATGGATTGTTGTAGGGGCTTGGCAAAACACAAGCCATTGGTATGGGCTTCTTGTATTGTAATGCCTTTGTTTGCTTCACCAATGATATCTTGTATTGCAAAGGCGCATTCGCCAAGACGCAACGTAGTCTTATAGTCTTCCTGAAGATGAAGAACAAAGCCACCAAGGTTACAGAAGCTTCTAGCGGAGTTATGAGTGATTCCTTGCTTCATTGTTAACTCAACGTCCTTGCAACAGCTCACAGCAGCCAGGAAGAGTCTTCCTGACATGTAGCTAGAATAGTGCAGCAGATGCAAGAGATCAGATATCGCTCCCTGTTTTTCATCATTTACGATTTCCAGCGACTTGTAAAAGTCTTTCGGTGCCTCTTTGATCAGTTTCAACGTCCTCCGGAACGCTGAAAGCGCTTGCGCCGGGGCCAAACCAACACGCCAAATTTGATTATATCCAAGCTCACGAAGTAGATGGATCACATACTCGGTTGCCTCAGCATGCTTCGATTCTACCGAGGATAAGGTCCATGCTCGTGCAATGCGCATGGGAAGTGTTTCCATCACCGATATGTCCTTTTGGTTGAAGATTTCCTTGCTGTATTCGTCTGCTTTGTCGATGTTACCGGAAATGAGTTGCATATGTGCGCCAATCGTGTAGAGATCAAGTGCCAAGGAGCGGTCCATTATCCACACGTTGCTTGGAAGCATATTGATCCCTTTCTCCGCATACCTTGCAGATGCTTCAAAAGCAGATATGCTGCGAGCCTTCTTTGCTGCTCGCAAGTTCAGCGCTGCAAACTCGATATTGATCTTTTCGGTGCCTCTGTTGACCAGATTGGTGATCTTGAACAGGTCGTCTTCGAGCAAATTTTCGTCCAAACCGAGAAGCAACTGTTGCCCGACTTGGAATTGAATAGCATTCAAATGATCAGGAGTGTTCAGCGTCATTGCGGCCTCTTGAACCTTGTCATGGACCCATTGATACAAGTTGTAACCATTGCCCTCCACTAACAACTCCCTTTCCGCCTTTGAAAGCATTGACCGCACTTCATCAAGGATTGTGCTCTCGTCTTGACTCGGATTCCGCATTTTCCAGAGTACCAGCAAGGTTTCCACGCGGAAATTCATCCCGAGACAAGCTGCTAACTGCAAGAGTTCCTGTACATCTTTGGACAAGAAGCGAATACGATTTTGCAGCAAAGTGGCAACATTGGCAGTTGACATTGTGGATTCTTCAATCTCGTTTACATCAAAAGTCCATTTCATAAGCCCCAGCGAAAAAGATATCAGTTCCTCTCGTTGGAGCATCTTCATAAACTCTACCAAGAAAAAAGGGTTTCCCATGGTTCGTTTAAAGCAAAGTTCTGCCAGATCTTGCGATATTGACTGATCATCGATGGCCATCATAGCCATTATCATTTCATGTATGTCTTCGAGTTCACAACTCCACAACGCAATGTCCGTCACATTGAAGCCATATCGTTCTTTTACCCTTTGTAGATCATCAATTTTGCCTGTGAGGACGCTGTAGCTATCAACCTCATTGGATCGGAAGCAGCCAATAATCATGAGTGGGTTTGTGTTTCGGATATCACTAATCAAATGTTGAATCATTTCCAGTGACGGAAGGTCCGCTCGTTGCAAGTCATCCAAGACTATCACCAATGGTGACGCCACTAAGGTCAGCACACGAGTCAGACTTCGAAAGGCAAACTTCCACCTATGCAAACTATTGTCAAAACTTGATTTGCTCCAGCCAGTTTTCTTATGGGTAACTCCAAATTTTTCCAATTCAGGAATCAGGTTGAGTAGCATGCCCACTGCAGTTCCGACCGATGAATTTCTAAGCAAGACTCCGATCTGAGAATCTTTCTTTTGTATTCGTAGTTCTCGAAGAATGGCGCTAAAAGCTTTTCCAAGAGCGGAGTATGGTCTTTCACTTGCATTGTTCACATCGAATTTGCCTTGGACGAAAACCAGGTTTTCATAATTTGCCACTTCCTTTTTTAATTCTTGTGCAAGCCTTGTCTTTCCGACACCACTAAACCCCTTGATGAAGCAGAGTTCTTTTTTGACAAGTGACTGCACAAGACTGCTTTCGGGTGGGACATCTGAGGAATCATTTTCGGCATCATCTTGTTTCGGTTGTTGGAACGAAGACATCATTCGGGAGAGACAATTTTGTAGTGTGGCAAATTCCTCACTTCTTCCTACCAAACCCATCTCCTCGAACTTGAGCTTGTTGATGGTGAGTTCTGCCAGCCGATCATTGGCAATTTCGCTTATGCCATTACCACTCCCACTGTTTCTTCCAGTAACTGTATCGAATAGAAATTCTTCGGAATCGGATATCGATTCAGCGGAACGCAACGATGCTGGTTCCATTTCTCCTGATTCATCCCCGCTAACAGTCAGGATTTCACTCATTGTTCTGAAACGAAGGGGGGAATTCTGATGTTGTTGTGTTTCTTTTCTTGATGTGTGGAAATATGAATATTGGATGGGTGGTTATGACGTTTTCAGAATTTGAATAAGCGTTTTGAAAAGCGTTCTACGTTGGCTTTTAATCTACGGTATCCTGTTCCATGTGGTCACGACTGGACTTATTGGACTAAAGCTGATCGATTTCTGTAAATTTCATAGTTCCAGAAAATGACACCAACCACTGGATCTATCTTCGGTCTTTCTAATATAGTAAACCAAACTTAAAACATCTTGTGCTGGTTCCAAAGAGAATGAATCCTCATCATTCTTGTCGCATTGGAAGGTCGCTGCTGCCGCTCCTTGTACGCGCGAGTTCTCTGCAATGGTATTACGAACTCGGAATGCTTGATCTCCAATCACATCATTTCCCATTTTATTTTAGGAACGGGTGTCGGCTCATCTTTCTTGAACAAGTCAAGCAAGAGGAACCGCAATGTGAAGATCATTGATGATAGATACTTTTGTAAGAGCTAAGATAGTGTCATTCAGTCGTCCGAGCGTCGCTCGTGCAATCGTCTCTCCATCCTTGCGACGTGTGTAGCTATGGTACTTCAAGGTACGTAACACTAGCGATGATGGTGATGACGGCATGATGAAGCAAGCGATCCGTGTTATCTTGGTTGTTTCAATCATTATCAATCAATAGGTGAGCCAGATTTCGTTGCATTTTACTAGTCAAAGAGTCAGCGAGTACATCTTAGAAGACAGGAGGGTCGAATTTGGATTCTAATGACAACCGATTCGAAAGAAGTCTACATGTGCATCGTCAAGAAATCCATGGATCAGTTTAGTTCTCACCTATTGTTTCCTTGTTTCCATGTTTCCTTTTCTATTGTTGTCAAAATTCCAGATTCAAAATGTCAGATTCTTCGGAGCAAGAGATTCAATACTTCGAGGCCAAATACTTGGACCCCAAGTTCCCAATTGTCAAGGCAGACCCCACTGTCGATGACGTGATCAAATCCATGCGCAGTGGCGACTATTTGTTCATGTCGGGTGCCGTCGCCGGAACCTGGGGATATGGTTTCCTGTTGGGAAAACCCGTCCGTGGCCCCACTGCTGCCATGTGCGCTTCGGCTGGTTTCACTTTTGGAATGTTTTACACCATGCAGACGGTCCGCTCTCGATTGCTCGGATACCGTGAAAACGCCAAGGAAGTCAAGAAGTGGGGATTAGCCCCCGTCCAACCACGACTATACAGCATTGGCGACAGACGATTCCCTACTCGTCAATCAATGCTTTCGACTCCTCCATTGAATTGGGACAACTATGACTAAATTTGTGTGAAGGTATGTAGTCGAGAAAATGCAACAGAGTTGCATGCTAATGGTATTTATTATAGTTTTGAAATAGTAAATACCGTCAAACCATGATAGTTTTAGAGACCTGTTATATGTATCAATGAAATGTTTGTAACTTGTTTTGCACTACATTTAGGTAGTCTAGTACGAAGCAAAATTATCATAATTCACTATAAACCTTTTTATTGTTGTAAACATGCATGTCATCTTCGCTTCCAATCGGAGAAAGATGATTCTAAATTCTTGGAATGAACCTTTCAAAGTGATCCCGAGCATTCTGAATATTGAGCAAAGTGGCAGCCGTGTGCACATTGGGATTGGAAACAATCACCATGATATAAGTGTTGGCTGTGAAAGCATCAATAAAGGCGGAAAACCGCGAATTGCGTACTTCCATTCCTTGAAATTGTGCTTGGGCCTTGCCACAAGATAGTTTGAATTGCTTGACAATATTGGAAATCTTTTCAAATCGATGGGCATCAAAATGCGGAGTCCGGGCTGCATGACGGGGGGTGTCGTTCGAGGGCCCGGCCGCCGAATCCAAGTCATCAGGAGGCACGACGAGTCCTGTTGTACTGGAAGTATCATTGGTTTCGTCGGCAGAGGGTTGCGCCGCCTCGTCCAAACCAGGAACTCCATCAGCGCCCCCACTAGGAGAAGCAAACGCTGCCTGTGTTGTAGCTTCCTTTGAATCTCCTCCTGGTCCAGTCAAGAGATGATCGTCACCCGAACTTTCGGCTTGGGCTTGTGATATTACCAAGAATGTAGCTCGTTCAAAGAGGACGACTTCATCGGCATCACATACTTTGCAAAAGGTGTTCAAATGAGATTCTAGCAAACGAATGTTTGGAATCAAGTTGGTTACAATCTCGGACCACGCCTTGTACAGTGTTTCATCCCAAATGGAAGTTCCAAAGATATGAAAGTGTTCCACCCCAAAATTGCTGCACTCTTGTTCAATGACTCTCTTGCGGTCCTCAAAAATGGCTTCTCTTTCTTCAAGAGAAACCAGATCCATCTTATGCACGAGAATAAAGATGCGAGCATCTGGCGAATTCTCTTCAATGGCTTCCAAGACACCCGAAAAATGATCAAAATCCTTTTCGGGAGAATCGGATTCAATGTCAAACACATAAATAAGCAATTCGACACTGCGAAAGATGGTTTCGCGATCTCGTTCAAAATAGGATTCATAGAATGCATCTTGACCCCCACAATCCCACAAGTTCAAGACCAAATCTCCGAGGAAGCGGACGTGGTGGTGTTCCACATCCAAGGTGGGAGAGAGACGGGTGGTGTCACGGGCCAAATAATTGGCAAAGATGATGGATCTCATGGATGTCTTTCCCGAGTGGGCTTTGCCCATTAACAGAACCTTCTTTTTGGCCATCGTTTATGTGTGTTGGTCGCTAGCTAGTGCTGGTATTGATGGTACCAAACAAAGGCAAAGATTGTACAACAAGCTTTTAAGATGCAGAAGATGATGAGATTTGAGATTGCCGACGAGGAGGCGTTTGAAAGTTCCAATTGGTCGATTTAGTCAAATGGACTGGAAATCAAAGGAAATCTAAAAACTGAAAACTGACGCTTTTTATACTGCGATGTACCGTACCGGTAGATTCATTCAAACACAATACTCAAGTATTCCAACACCAAAAGCATGACGCAGTTGTTAATTACAATATTGTGCGCTGCACTCCTGATCTGCTCCAATGTAGCGTTTGGGTTTCAATCGGCGGGTCCTTCTCATCTGGCAGTGTCATCTCACTTGTTGAGGAGTCATCCTCCATCATCGTCGACACACCAAATCCTGGCCACAAAACAAATCTTCTCGCGCCGTCAAACCATTCGCTTTCTATCATCCGATCAAGTCGAAGATAATGATCCATCCATAAAGATTGTCAAGAAGAAGGACGACACATTGTTTGACCTAAAGACGACATTATTCTTGGTGGGTGGACAATCTTTACTCATTGGTATCGCTGCAGGCTTTGCCAAGATGTTCAACATTCCCAATTTCGGACTCGGCCCAGATATCAATTTGAACTTGTCGGCATTACAACAAGGATTCCTCATGGCACTTCCAATGGGTGGTTTGGCAGCCCTATTGGATCAAGTGGAAGATAAGTTTCCAGCACTACAGGATGTCACTAAGGCGACGCACAAGTCGGTATTGGCACTGTTGGGTGGCAACTTCAAGCCACTGCTGGGGCTTATCATTGCAATAGCGTTGGGTAAGTTGCTTGTTGGTGGATATGTGACAACCACGGTATTGTGTGTGTGTGTGTGTGTGTGTGTGTGTGTGTGTGTGTGTGTGTGTGTGTGTGTGTGTGTGTGTGTGTGTGTGTGTGTGTGTGTGTGTGTGTGTGTGTGTGTGTGTGTGTGTGTGTGTGTGTGTGTGTGTGTGTGTGTGTGTGTGTGTGTGTGTGTCTTGGACGTTCTCACATGAGTACCACCACAACATTCAATAGGTTTTGCGGCGGGGTTTGGCGAAGAAATGCTCTTTCGCGGGGTCTTGCAATATGGACTGGCGGCCAAAGTGGGGACTGCTGCGAGTTTAGTGGTGGCCAGTCTTATTTTTGGGGCTCTGCATGCCGTGACGCCATTATACGCTCTGCTGGCTGGGGTTGCCAGTGTCTACTTTGGATACTTGTATCTATCCTTTGGGAACTTGGCAGTTCCAATCTATGCGCATGCACTCTACGATGTGGGGGCCTTGTATTATGCACATTGGGTAAGTGAGGTGGGCGATGGATGAATCAATCCATTGGAATAATGATGATGCCTGGATGTCGTGTTGCTAACTTTCTTATTCAAATTGACCATACCAGACGGTATCACAACTGTCAGACGAGGAACAATCAGAACTTGCTAGCATGTAGTTATGGCTAAACGATGTTTTCCTTGTCACCACACTACATCCCAAATTCTGAATGCGTGAGTTAGTCTAACCACCAGAGTGGAAGTAGCCATGCATTTTTCTCTTGTTCGGGCTCATTTATCACCGCAAACACACACGGAATGGTTTGATCCTTCCACGTTGAGAATATAGAAGCTCGTCTAGGCATTTCATCTGAAGCATGATGGACTCGTGAGACAGTGTTGGGCAGGTTGCATCGTTAGAATCACCCTCATCCAGTTCCATCAGCAATCAAACCTTGCAGCCGACCGAAATCCCATTTGCATTGTTGGAAAATGAATTGTGTGCTGTAAATGAGAAGAGTCGAATGGTCAGCAAGAAAATAACTATGAGCAAGGTCAATGTTCGTGGCGATGAAAAAGCTTCTCCTGACTTACAAAGATCGCAATAACAGCTCCTGTAATCGTAGGAATCGCTCCAAGGTGGATTGAATCGACAACCATCATCACTTTGGAACAACGAAGGTACCGATCCAGTAAGGGCATTTTGGTCTTTGGGGGATGTGGGTGATGAAAAATTACGAAAATGGGCTCAATGAGTGACTGGTGTTGTTCATACCTAGAAAGGTATTTTGTCAAGTGGCAACGGGCACATACCAAGGTTCAATGTATAAAGGCCTAGAGTTTCGATTTCGCTAGGGATGGTTCCAGACAATCCCAAACCGGCTGTGAATCAAAATCCATCATACCGGTACAACCAGTCAATGTCAGAATGTTTTACAAATCATCAGAGAGATTTAAGGTCAAAAGACTCACAGAGCTTTAAACTTGTCAATTCAGTCATACGGCCGACTTCTGTGGGAATGCTACCGGACAAATCCATATTCTCTGGAACAATGACGAATGGATATAGCACGGGGTTCAGCAAATGGAGTTTCTGAGTGATAGTGTCACAAGCGGAAGAAATATGGAAATATGAGCGAGCCTTACCGAAGCGGAACCAACTGACTGAAGTCAATTTCCCGATTTCGCTGGGGATGCTACCTGATAGATTCATGTTGCCTTTTGGAAGCAAGGGTGTGATCTAATTGTTGGCTCGGAGAAAATTATCAAGCAAGACAAAGGTCAGATTCAGGACTTACTCATTGATATGGCCCAAGCCTTGTCGAGACGCCCCAACTCAGTAGGAACGGTTCCACTAATATGCGGCAACTCATCTGCGAAGGAGGAACTAAAAGTGTGAGACAGTTAAATTCAGAGGTAGATTCACAACACTGCACATGATAAATTGGGACTCACGGAGAAAAAAGGTAGACATCTCTCTCAGTTGCCCAATTTCTGTCGGAATAGTTCCTGTGAAACCTGCCATGCCTTGGCAAAGGAGAAACCAGTTAGTACGAGCGAGCAACACGAACAGTATTCCAGATTCGACGAAGCCAAAACTGTCTATCGAAAATTAGAGGCACTTACCTACAGTGAACAAAGTCAATGCCGACAATAGGCCCACCTCAGTAGGAATGGTGCCAATTAAGCCCTTGAAATCTAGAATCGATGGAGATTAGATGGACAATCGAGAGCTGTGAAATACATCCGATTCTTTGAACAACGTACCGACGCTTTTGAAATACTCGAGCTTTGTCAAGAAACCGATTTCGGTTGGAATCTTTGCTTTTGCTCCCGTATAGTCTGACAATTTCCGAAGTTCACGAGGAAGTCCATTAGCAACAGCCTAGATTTTACGTGCATCGAACGTATTATCCTTTGCTTACCAAATGAATCAATACTAAGACCAGTCACTCTCCCATCCTCGTTGCATTCAATGCCTAAATCTCCACAATAAGAATCATGCTTCGGGAGGAGAAAGTCGAACCATTCGTGTGCAGACGACATGAAAACAAACAATGTCAAGACGTACTGTTCCAATAAAAGATCAAGCTCCTCACTGTTCACAAAGGCTTGTGCAGCATGGTCTTTCTTCAAGCAATTCAAAGCTCGAACGTGTGCTGTGTCTCGACCAAGATTATCGAACATGCTCGTCTCTCCCTTCATGGCAGACACAAGGTGCGACTTGTAGTTGTTTCGATCCATGTTGCTGCGGGATGCAGCGCCGATGCCAACACTTTTGCCACTTGCTCGGGTCCCATCACAATCCGTTGAAATAAGCACGATAATGATAATGAGAAGAATGAAAATGAGATCCACGGCTCCTCCAATCATGAGTTGCTTCTTCTTTTTCCTGAGATTGACTATGCGAAGCTCCTCCTTTTTCTCTTTTACCCTTGCCTCGTAGCTTTCCAGGCCGAGTTTTGGGATAAGAAGAATAAGGCGGCGTCTCAATGTTACCAGATTGGTCTTTTGGTGTTTCGACATCTTCGACGCTCTCACGTAAAACCTTCGGCTACAGCCTTTTCGTTTTCGTTTTGTGCTCTTTCTTTTTCTAGTGGCGACCCTTAGGTATCTTGCTCGTCGTCCTGTTCAATCTTTCGAGATTATTGTTGTGTGAGAACATGCGATGAAGAAAAAATTCAGGCTTCGGAAGCTCGATTCGAAGTGCTAGTCATCATTTCATGAGTCATTGTCAGCGCACTCATTTGCGGTTTTGTCTAAGATTCTTCCTCCAGAACTCGCAATTTGAAATGAGATGTTCTCATTTGGCCTTATTCAAGTGATACGGTTCGGATCTTGATCGTTGTTTGGTAGCGCACGGCATTGAAGAGGAGCTCTTAGCAGTTTGGCATCCTTCTTGTACGGCTTTAGAGAAATATTGCTCATATCATCATCTTGTGATAGCATTAGGTATTGCATTGGCCACTCTGAATGCTAATGCTGCGAATATACTGGTTGGGGCCTGCTGTCGATTTTACTGTGCTGCTTTTCCTTCGCTTCGTTCATCACGAGTGGTTTGGATTGATTACTTCGACCAAAAGTTTCCAACCCAGAAAACCTCCAAAACCGAACAACGAGAACCCCAACATAGCCTGAGCTACCGCATGAGACCTCCTCATCGCAACAAGATTCGCATCGTGCCTATAGGTGTGGAATCGCAATTTCTATGCAGCATGCGCATGCAGTAATGATCCTAACTTCGTGGATAATTGCGTCTGAAGGCCTCACTTTTTACCAATGATTTGCAAGCTGATGACAAAGGAAAAGCGACGAGTCTGCTTTCAAGACGATGTCACGGTGAGAAAAATTCCATGCCGAAGTAGCTGGTCTACGGATGACCTATCTACCATGTACTACTCTATTGACGATTTGAAGGAATTTCGGTCACGTGAAAGACGCATAAGCAAAAAGCTGTCATCTTCCGGCCAAATGGGCAGTCTAGATTTCGATGGAAGAGGCCGGTGTACTATCGAGGCTAAGTCTCTTCGACAGAAACGAGCCCTTGACTCGATAAAAATTGTCCTACAGGAGCAGTCTCTTCAATGTTTCTATGGTGGCAAAGTAAACCCTGACGGCATTGCAAAGGTGTACTCTGGAGCTACTATTGAGAGCAAGCTTTTTGCAAGACA